GATCGGCCATTCTCACGATTAAGCGTTCTCAGCCTAATTACCATATCATTTTTGAAATTTGGCTTAATTGACTTAAACGCATTTAAATATGAAACGCATGAAAAGTACGAATTTAACAATCGTTAAGGCGTTAAATTATTCCAAGCGGTTTTCGCGTAAATGAGACCCAAAAATTTTATGGTCACGGTAATTAGATAATGCTAATACTTAATCTAACGGTAATTAGAAAAAATATGTAAAATAGCAAGAAAACAATATCTTGCATTGATAAATTTGTATATAAATATATAGCGTCATAAAAAACGCTGTAGGTACACTTAATAACCCTTTGAAAAAAGGAAAACACACATTTCTATTATTTATTGTATCAAGATATTTTCAGTATACTGCAATAATCGAGGCTATAACAGGAACACTTAGTTTCGGCCAGAAGGGGCTACGTGTCACATTCACATTTCATCAGAATCTTAATCATCATTTATTTGATTTCAATGTGGTACAAACGATTTAACGTACAGATAATGGATCAGGAGATCTCACAAATTTGATTTTTCGAATATGCATATTACATGTCCAATGACCCCAAGCTACCCATCCTTATCACTCGCGCGTAATTATATTGCTTGGGGTCATTGGACAAAATTCTACGTGCTCACGGACCAGGCTTTAGCATATGTCGAAAAATTAATTAATGATTTAAGTGATTTTTCCTCTTTTTAATCTACCTGCGATCAGCCATCACCCATTATCAGATTAAATTGAATTTGTAATAATGACAGTTCCAGCTCAGCATATCCCATGATTTGTCACCTCGATTCTTTTACAATAAGTTTTCAGATTGATGCTATTCGCTTTCTCCTGAGCCTAAATGCAGAATTCTTAGAATTTAGAAGGGATGCAGCAAATAGATTGCATGAAGGTCTAGTCTTTGGTTGTAAGCTTTACAGGATTTTCCACACCCTCTTTGACGTTTGATATCACTTCAGTGGACGTTGTAAATCAAGGTGCACAGCACAATATTTTTAAAACTTTATTTTGAAAACGTTAAAGTATTTCTACATTTGCGAGGCTAAGTCGATGCCATGTCTACATGGGTTTTAGGATCCATTTGTATATAGTTTGTTCTCCAAGCTTCTTCTGTCCAGTACCCATTGCATATCACGAAGTTTTTTCTATGCATAACAAAGCAGGTAGGATGCAGTTTAGGATGGTACAAAGTGCCTATACACTCTTGCCTTGAAAAGTCCCATTGTCTGTTGATTTGTTCTCTTATTTTTTTGTTTGTTGGAAAATCTCATCTTCTTAGGGCAAAGGTATTATGGATAGATGTTAATGGTATTATATTAGAATTAATTAATGATTTAAGATGTTAATATCAATTATACTAATAGTAAAAATAAATATCTGGTACGAGACATGTTTCATGCAGGGGTGACATCTCCTGGCCATCAGAAAGCCCCGATTTCACTCCAGGTAACTTCTTTTTGTGTGGTCACCTAAGGGGTTAAAATATACTCTTAAATCCAACAACCATGCAGCAACTGAAGCTGAACATTCGTCATGAAATCGAATCTATTTCGAGGTTACTCTAACGAAAGTTTTTTAAAATTTTGATTGTCAGATTGGAAGAAAAGTCCGTACAGTTGTTATGCGAAAGTCTAGGTATATTTCATATTTTATAATCATACTTATTCAATCGTGAGTGCAATTTGTAGGTAATAATTTCATACAACGGTGATTATAAATATACGGTAATTAGTACATGGAAATTATAAAACGATAGTTTTTCTTCAAAATTTCCAAAATCTTCAGCGTATGCAAATACTGTCTTACTACAACGTATGAAGGCCAAAGTACTGAATCTATTTAAATTAACAACGTGGATCTACCTTCAAAAATCGAGTATAAAAATAAGGACATGGTAAATAGAAAAATTGAAAACCAAAGATATGGTAATTATACTCTTACGCAATTCATGGACGGTACGCCAACGCAATAGACGTCTACTTGCTAACAGGTTTTAGAACCAACTAAGGGCTCGCGCCGCGCGCCTACATGATGTGTCAAATATTATTATTTAGGCTTGTGTGCCCAAAAACAGAAAACGTCACGGGAATTAGGACTTTCGCTCGGACAAGCAGTTATTTAATTCTAATTATTTACAGAATGGTTCTATTGAATAGATATTTTGCTATGTGTAAGACAATCTTGTGTACTCTTTAAAATGTTGAATGGAATAAACCAAATCTATACGACATAAAAATTACAGCCAAGTTTTAACATTAAGTCGGTGTGCGGACGCGTGACGGTAATTAGAGAACAGAGGTTCATGAAATTAATTAAGTCACAAATACTTAAAATAGAAGCCTATGATTTAATGCACAACTGGATGGGGTTGTTAAGTAACATATAAAAATACTTGCATGTCTCTAATTTGTCATTTTTAACGATTTAACAGCCCGGACACGCAAAAACTAGCTCACCTGAGAATGGCCGTGATAATTTACTATTTGATAAAGAATTTACGTATTTATTATTGATTAGGACTAATGTATACCATTATTTATAATTATGGAGTCGGTGTTGGAAGATTTGAAGATTTTATAGTTTCCTTGAGCTGTCAGCTTGACAGCCTGGCATACTTTTACGATGGTGGATCAAAGTATTTTGATTTGACTATAGAGCGTGAGAACACGCACACAGTCATAATTATTTTAGTGTGAATAAAACTAGCATCGAAATTACCTAAACTTGACATTCCACGCTAGACGTAAACGCTCTTAAAAAGTACGTTCATTTGATTGGCGCTGGCATATACCCTATTCTACATATAAATCCCTAGATACTGGTAGACTAGTGTATTTACCTCGCGTTCCTTATCCTGGCTGGCGCGCGGATTGAACTGGAACACCAGTTTGCCGCTCGCGTTAGCTAGCTTCGTCGCTGAACTGTTCAGATCCTAAAAACAATTCCAGTTAAATAGACTTATTTATATGTATTTAGATTTAAGACCTTATGTACAACATGGAATGCAATAGATATTGACTATTCTACTTTTTCAAGACAAATATTTTTTAGGTCCTTACCTCGTGGTTGCCGTCTCTCGCGCTAGAGCATATACCGCGAGTCGCCTCGCACATACTCCTCAATTCATCCAATAACGCCTGACGTTCCTTCTCATCTTTGCTATCACTAAGTGCCTTAGTATCTGAACAGAAACATACAAAACATTCAATTCTTAATCTTTAATGTACACTATTGAACACTGGACCAAGTATAGTCCCTTGTAGCACACCACAAAAGTCTTTAGATATTTAATTACCTTTCACAACTTGTGGCATCAGCTGGTTGATAGCCTGAATGGACTGTTCCGCAGTTTCGTAGTCTGGTTTCTCACGATCTGTAAATGAATTACTTTGTCAAAAGCCTGTGAAGAATCCATCAATTTTTCTTCCATTACACACGTTTTTAACTATATTAACTAAGCAGCAATGGAATTAAAAAAATAACAATTTAATGAACATACCTGCCGTAGCAGTTAGAAGTGCAGCGATGGCAGCATTGAGCTGGGCGAGACTTTGAGCCAACCTGTTTTGTAGGTCAGCTGGCATTTGGCCGCCTTTAGCTGCCACTATTGGCTGTAAAAGACAATTGATTAATAATTTTCATAAATATGGTTCATTTTAATGCAGAACAAAGCAGGTCAAGGCCAGACTGCAATCACATCTGATGTTAAATCAGATGCAGTCCTGCTTGTTAAGTAGTGGGTCCTACTGTTACAGTTTAGATGTTACCTTATCTAATTCCTTCTCGGCCTTTTGGAGAACGCTCTCTGCCTCGGCTGCCGTGCTGACAAACTTCAAGTGTTTCGGGTCCTTTGTCAGCGCTGGTCGGGTGACGCCTTTCACTTGCACTTCTGATAAAAAACATCGTTATTACAATAAATTGGCATTGGATTGGTGCTCCAGAAATGCGCAAGTCCACAATCCAATAATATGAATTACGCACCGCATGCTTCGTTACTTTTCATTGCAAAAAAGCTAACAAAATCAAAATCAAAATTATCTTTTTTGTGTAGACTAATTAAATAATTAAATTATGTATCTAATTACGTGTCTCATTCTTTTTTTGCCCTGCCAGCGCTTCGAGACAAACATTTGGCAAGTGCTGAGAAGAAGCGCCGCAACAAACGCAAACACCACTGTCTGACGGTTTAAAAATATAAAAAAGTAGGAAGTTACAATACATTCAGAAGCAAGAATAACTAAATAACAGCTCACCATTTCCACTGTCACCGACACGACACGCCCTCTTCAATCTCTCCAGCTCGTCCTCTAATTCGCTCCTTCCCTTCTGTATCTTCTCGCCAAGGGCCTGGTACTTCTGGTCCTGGATAACTGGTAGCCAGGTGGAAGCCAGGTGTTGGTTGGCGGCGGATACCGCATTAGCTGATGCGACTAGAGATGCCTGGCAGCGAGGGTCTTGCATGCACGGAGCTGTGAGCTGTCAATAAAGTTATACCAGTCATTAGTTTTCTGCAAATAGGCTTTTAAAAATCGCATTCAGTGGGTGGAAGACGTCGTTCGTTTCAGCAAAATGACGTCCACTGCAGGACAAAGGCCTCCCCCAAGGATTTGCATTACTGCGCAGCCCGCATCCTGGTTCTTCCCGCGACCTCACCAAATCGTCGATCCACCTAGTGGGAGGCCTGCCCACGCTACGTCTTCCGGCCATGTGCGTTCCCTTCGAGAGGCCACTGTGGAAAACGAAGGTTTCGTATACATAAAGATTTAGCAGAACCTCTAAAACAAATGTAGCCGGAACGATAAATTTGTAGGTGTTGTAAGTTGGACGCTACAACCCGCCGAATGTGGTCCCTCAGATGAACTATGTGAAATACCAAATTACTGAATCTGACCAAATAAGATGATTTTGATGAATGGTAATATTTAGAAGGTAAATCGTAGGGCTACATACGAAAATAAGAGTTCTGGATAGTTACTGCAAATAAAGAAAATCCAATCAGACGATGGGCCCTCAGTTCACCAGTGCACAAAATTTACTTTAATGCTACAAATTGGAACTTGAGACTAAGTTTCTTTGGTATGGTTTTAATTTTAGCAGAAGTAGCCACAATGCTACCCTGAGAGTACAGGGTTTATATATTCTACTAGTACAGAATAAAAGCTCTAGTAAAGTGAGCCCTCGGGCCACACGTTTCAGAAAATAGTTATCATATTTAGAGACAAGGTGGAAGGTGTATTAATTTACACATAATAATATAAAAACGTAGTCATTTCGTAGTACAAACTTAAGTATCTGTGTGGTGTGTAAATATTTCCTTTCTTGAAATAAAACGGACTCATTTATGTGTGAACAAAATATTCGTATTAGGGTAACCACACATCAGAAAATTAATAGATAACTAGAAAAAGTGTCCCTACACAACCTATACCACGATTAAAAAAATTCAAGATAACATTTCTATAGATAGAGCATAATAAAAAAAGTATACTGATAACAAAATCACCATGTATACAGGGCGATTTTTTTTACTCAATCGTCGAATTCAACTCGGCTGGGCAGCGTCCGCCGGGAAGCTTCGCGATATTCTCACGTCCGAAATACCGCAGTGTCTTAAAAACTGTGCCACAGCGTACTGAAGGAGATAGCCGAAAGTGGGGATTGTCCACTGATCGGCCACATGCTGAGCAGGACGAGGTCGGTTTTAGAAATAAGATACTAACATTAGCCTAAGTTTTTACTAACATTTATGGATCACTGTTATCTATATATTTATTATTATGAATTAAATACTTTTTATTTTATTTTGTTTATTTAAGACTGACCAGTGTGTGTTGCCAGTGATGGTATACGGATATGAGACGTGGTCGCTTACTATGGGCCTCATGAAGGCTCAAGGTCACCCAAAGGGCCATGGAGCGAGCTATGCTCGGAGTTTCCCTACGTGATCGAATCAGAAATGAGGAGTTTCGTAGGAGAACCAAAGTGACTGACATAGCCCGCAGCATCGCTAAAATCAAGTGGCAGCTTGGGCTAGGCACATAGCTCGTTCTTGAGTGGCGACGACGAGCCGGAAGACGTGGCGTGGACCGACGATTTGGTGAAGGTCGCGGGAGGTACCTGGATGCGAGCGGCACAGGACCGGCCATTGTGGAAATCCTTGGGGGAGGCCTTTGACCAGCAGTGGACGTCTTTTGGCTGAAACGAACGAACGATTCACTGCTATTGATTAATGAATCGCGGCATTAATCGATTTTGTTGTATCACAGCTTTAAATCTATTCCGTATCACACAATGCGTAGGTACTTTAAATAAAATTATTTTTACGTCGTACCTATTTAATTAAAATAAAATCAATAGACTCGGATTTATCTCAAAATACCTCTTAGGCAATAGTACAGAATACCTACCTACTTATACTTTAGTTTTGAGTTTCCTAAAAAAATCGACAATGTGGTTAACATACACAAAATCATTACGGAGAATTTAAGAAGCAAGATATTTCTTTAAATACTTTATACAGCAAAAATATTTTAATACAATTTTAAACTGCAAATTTTGTACATAAAATGGTGTAAACTATTTTTATCAAACAATGAGTTGGGCGAGATATTTATCATGGAATTGGTTTTTAGCGTGTGTTCCGAGGGCTCACTTTACTAGAGCTTTTATTCTGTACTAGTAGAATATATAAACCCTGTACTCTCAGGGTAGCATTGTGGCTACTTCTGCTAAAATTAAAACCATACCAAAGAAACTTAGTCTCAAGTTCCAATTTGTAGCATTAAAGTAAATTTTGTGCACTGGTGAACTGAGGGCCCATCGTCTGATTGGATTTTCTTTATTTGCAGTAACTATCCAGAGCTCTTATTTTCGTATGTAGCCCTACGATTTACCTCCTAAATATTACCATTCATCAAAATCATCTTATTTGGTCAGATTCAGTAATTTGGTATTTGACATAGTTCATCTGAGGGACCACATTCGGCGGGTTGTAGCGTCCAACTTACAACACCTACAAATTTATCATTCTGGCTACATTTGTTTTAGAGGTTCTGCTAAATCTTTATGTATACGAAACCTTCGTTTTCCACAGTGGCCTCTCGAAGGGAACGCACATTTCCGGCCCGTGGTCGTCGCAACTTTTCTTTCCCAACGGCCTTCGTCTCTACGAGCTATGTGCTCCGCCCACTGCCACTTGATTTTAGCAATTCTGCGGGCTATGTCAGTCATATTGGTTCTCCTGCGGATTTCCTCATTTCTGATTCAATCACGAAGGGAAACTCCTAGCATAGCCCGCTCCATCGCCCTTTGAGTGACCTTGAGCCTTTTTATGAGGCTCTTAGTAAGCGACCACGTGTGTGGAAATGTTAATAACGATATGTGACTGTGTCTCAAGCCTTTTGTATTTTTCTGTGCACTAATATTACAATTTATGTATGTTTATCTAGACAATTTTATGAAGCTTACTATTTTATTTATTTTACCAATGGTCCGTGGCCCTCACTCGGCATGGGGCACACTGAAAACCAGCGCCGTGGCCTTCGTCACCGTGGGCCACGGCATATGCTGAGTGGGGTCCCGTTGAAGTGGGCATCTTGTTAAAAACCTTAGACTATGATGAAACTGAAAAATTGCTGAAATACTCTACTTGATACAATACTCGTGTACACACACACACACACACACGCGCGCGCGCAAGCACACACACACACACACACACACACACACACACACACACACACACACACACACACACGCACACACACACACGCACACACACACACGCAAGCACACACAAGCACACACACACACACCAAACGCAACCTAAATATGTGGTGATTTTGTTACTTTTTGGTTATGATAAAAAAAAAATGTTACTGTTAATTTGTTAAGGGAGAGCGACTCCTTCTGGCACAGGTGCCATTGCACTTACAAGAAAGAGTCCACCTCAAATTCCATTAATTGTTGTTGTTAACGAAATAAATATTTTTCATTTTCATTTTTCATCTTGTTGGTGAATGGGTGGCTCTGCTCAGTTTACTCTTGTTTTTATATTATTTTTTTCTTCCATTATTGTGTGCCACTGTCATGTCTATGTAATTGCCTGTAATTATGTGATGTCCATTGTAATAAATGTATCTTTCTTTCTTTCTTACCTGCGCCGTGGTGAGCAAGGCATTGGCAGCGTCGGCCAGCTTGGAGCCGGCGCCGTCGAGCTGTGAGCCAGCTTCACCATCCGCTTCGGCAGCTAGTTGGTACACATCGTTCAGCAGCTGCGAGGCTTTCTCACACGCGGATGATGACACATCCAGAATCTGAGAAAAACAGATTGCTTTAATGTTAAAAAAAAACTTAGTAGACTACGGCACTAAACACAGAATAATAATGTACTACATACAGAAAGTTTCTTCGCGAAGGTATTTATAAAAATGTCTACTCAATGTCGTCAACAATATGGTGAAACTAGCTTTTTTGAAATTTAGTTTGTCATACATTATAGCCTATGATTGATATGTTATTCTGGGTTATAAAAAAATAATACTGTAAAGTTTCATCAAAATCCGTTCAGTAGTTTTTGCGTGAAAGAGTAACAAACATCCATCTAGTTATCCAAACTTTCGCATTTATAATATTAGTAGGATAGTAGGATTTATCTTGTCTCAAGGGGCGAGCACCATTTCGTTTGACTTATGTCAGTGATCAGTATTGTGCCGATACGATAAGGCTGACTGTTACAAGAAGCTACTGTGTGGCCATCTAGCGCACCACACGCCAATTTTTTCTTACTTCCAGTGATTTTTTTACAATGATTGAAGAATACGCGCGCTTACACATCACTCACTACTTGCTTGTGAATGCCTTGTGGATTAAACATCCCAGGAGAGTACGCCGTGCGTGTTTTGGTTTCGATGCATACTTGCGGAGATGAACTGAACAGGTCTATAGTCCGGTCGCCGAGCACGTAGAATTTCGTCCAATAACCCCAAGCTACCCATCCTTATCGCTCGCACGTAATTATGTTGCTGTCGCGACTGTGCGACGGGCGCCCGCAGTGAGTGTGCGAGCGCGACAGGAACATAATTACGCGCGAGCGATAAGGATGGGTAGCTTGGGGTCATTGGACAAAATTCTACGTGCTCACAGACCGGGCTTTAGTATAAATAAATACTGATGGAATATTTACCTCGTGTTCCTTGTCCTGGCTGGCACGGGGATTGAACACGTACACCAGTTTGCCGGTCGCGCAGGCTAGTTTCGCCGCTGATCTGTTCAGATCCTAAAAAACACAAACTAAATAAGAATCTTTATTTCTTTCGACTAATGATAGTTGATCAAATCCTTTTAAGCTATTTCAAAATAAAATTCTCCAAGCTGTTTAACTGTGGTCTGATTAAAATTTCATTTTAAAGCTCATAGTAGACTTATCAACTCGGAAAGGGATCAACACCGTATCGCCTTTCGCGAGCTGTCATCGACTTTTGCGAGCTGTCATCGCATTTTGCGCGCTGTCAACCACTAGGCGAGGCGTTTACGTTACCGTGCGGATAAGTGTGCGTACTGTGCGTTGTGGTATGGAGTTTCATACAAAGAATACTGACTGCATCGACTTGATACGGTTACGATCCCTTTCCGGGTTGATAAATGTGCGATATCCTATAAGTAAACGATGAGCTGCTTTTCATTGTAAGATGGTAAAAACATTGTGAAATGAATGTTTTTTATTACATAGCGTGACAGAATTTTAAGGTTATTCAAGAGTGTCAATATGAAATACGTAATTTGACATTATATCATGGGATTTTAATGCATTTTCAGGGTTCCGTAGTCCTGACAAGGAACCCTTATAGTTTCGTTATGTCCGTCTGTCTGTCTGTCTGAGGTTTTGCTTGGAAACTATTGGTACTAGAGAGCTGTAATTTTTTTAAATTATATTATTATTTATACATAAGAATATTAAAATAAAATTATTAACGACTTATACTTTTATAGTCTAAATTGCGATAAATTAAAAGTAGATCCTCACTTCTAAAACAGTGCCCGACAGGGTTCATAATGATCTATTTAGCTTTAAGCCTTATCTACCCTATGTTACATTATGGTGATGCAAATAAATATTTATCTATCTATCTATCTGATCCATACCTCATTGGAGGCGGCACCCGCGCTCTCGCAAATGCCTCTCGCGGCGTCACACAGTGCCCTGAGTTCGCGCAATATTTCCTCTCGAGTCTTGTCGTCTTCGCCCGAAGTGGCTGATTTTGTATCTGTAATAAATGTGTCAAATGTCAAACTGTAATACTAAGATGTCAAAAGCCTGTTAGATGTTCTACACTGAAACGTCCCAGATATTATGACATTGTCAGGATGGCGCTACTATCTATTTATTTATTTTAAAATGTCATAAGCCTGTATGGACTTGGTTTAAAGCAGTAAAAAAAAGTACCTCTTTATTTAAAAAGGTCTAAAATTGCAGTCTATTTAAGTAAAAATAAGTTTTCTTAAGTTACCTTTTACTACCTGCGGCAGGAGTTGGTTTATTGTGTTCATGGCGTTGTCTGCCGCTACGTAGTCAGGATTTTCACGGTCTGAAAGAAGACACAGTGTTTCATTTTTATACACGAGAAATCCCCAAAATTAAAAACAAGCAACTAATACCACAAACTAATACGCTGAGTTCAAAATTCAGTGTCGCACATTGAAGTAGTACGAAAAGTACGGCTAAGGAGAAGCGATGCCAAATGTAAACAAACCTAATGTCATGGTCATTTAGAATAGCAGGGGTTTGACTTTGACATATTTTGACTGGAAAACGAGACATTACGACAAATACACAAGATGGGAAGAGACAGAATAGATTGTCAGTTCGACAGTCGAATCGACCTTTTGTACCGCTGCTAGTTGGCCGTACTTTAGTACATTATAACTCAATGGTGTCGCATTAGAAATTCACATACACAAAGTAATCAAAATGTGTGCTCATTATCCACTGCGGTATCAGTACTCAACGTTCGAATAATCTTTAGTACTACGTAAGCAATGTAAACTGTTATGTATTACATTATGACGTCGCTGCTGTCATCATTGCTGTCACGAGCAATGTGTTCTGTTTTTGGGCATATTGCTGCGACACCGGCCCTGCCCCCTTGTCACATCTCCCTTTAGTCAGAGTAAATACAAATGAGTAGGTCATCTTCATATCATAAACGCCCGAGCGCGGTTTGTATGTGAGCGCGCCAATAGTTGTAATTGTCAGTGTGTGCGTGCGCGCCGCATACGTATATTGGTGCGCTCACATACAAACCGCGCTCGGTGCGTTTCTATGAAGATGACCTACTCATTTGTATTTACTCTGCTTTAGTTTCTGTGATCTGTGTTGTTACATCTGGGGGCACGGCAGTGCCCCCACCAAGTCGAGCAAAAAAGCGGCACGGCCGTACCATCCTTTTCTCGAAGCAATTCAGGCCATTTTCGACCCCCTGTAACTTCGTTGTGGATAAAACTAGAAGACTGAATTTTCAGTAACCATGCAGGCATTGTAAAGACACGGTATATTTCAAATTTCATTCAATTTGAACCAATAGTTTCAGTTCGGTCCAGTTTTCTAGATACATAACTGCTGTCTACAAAATACAAAAAGAAATGAGATCAAAATATACAAAAAGAAGAGAGAATCAAAAACAATACTTGTCAAAAAAACCAAGTCTCGCAACTCAGTTGTTCTACGGTAAAAAGTTGTGAGATCCATGTAATACCAAGTCCAGGCCAGGAAATGTTTAAAGTTTTACATAAATTATTGACTTGGCCATCGCATGAAAACACGTGTAAATTAAATTATTTAGTGCGTAGTTTGATGGGATATACACTTACCGGCGGCGGCGGCGACGAGCGCGGCGACGGCTGCGTTGAGATGCGCGGCGCTGTCATACAGCCTGTGCTTCAGATCCGCGGTCGCCGCCGGGCCATTCGGCGCTATCGCGGGCTGCAAACAAAATCAAAATTACATTTAATCACCAGGACACTATGGTAACCATTGACGAATCTTCTAGGGTTGTTTTTTAGGGAGCCCCAGGCTCTCATATGAACCAACTGGGGAGGGCGGGGATTAGTGTCATTAAGTATGTAGATATACTATTTCTAAGATTTTCTGGGGTAAGCACTAAACCAGAGTAAATACAAATGAGTAGGTCATCTTCATCGGCCGTTTGGTGTAGTGGTTCAGAGCGGACTACTATGCCGAGAGGTCCCGGGTTCGATTCCCGGCCGGGCAGAAATTGAAATGATGAATTTTAATTTCTGTGACGGGTCTGGGTGTTACCATGTATAATATGTATGTATTTAAAAAAAAAAGTATATAAGTAGTATATCCGTTAAGCTAGCACCCATAACACAAGCATTAAGTTGCTTACTTTGGGGCTAGCTGGCGCTGTGTGAAATTGTCCAAAGATTTATTCATAGAAACGCACCGAGCGCGGTTTGTATGTGAGCGCGCCAATACGTATGTGGCGCGCACGCACACTGACAAAATTCGGCGCAACTCCCCGCTAAACGCTCGGTGCGTTTCTATGAAGATGACCTACTCATTTGTATTTACTCTGACTAAACCATTTTGGGATGGGCACGGCCCACAAGCCCCCCCTCTTCATACGCGCATAACGCATGCATTTTATTTTCAACTTTAATGCCTTGTGTTAAAGTGCAAAAAATTACTAAGGTTTAAAATTTTAAATGTGATGGAATACAATATAACAAAGAGACATGACAAATTCTAAAATGAAGACTCCGAAACAATCCCTCATGTAGCTACTAGCCAAATATTGATGTCATTATTACCATTTTAGCCCATGGTAGGCCAATGCTGGATGTAAGGAACGGCAAAAAGCAAGATCTCTTATCTAGAATAAATGAGTACCTACTAAACTGTCTTAGCTTGTAATCGATTGGATCATATAAAGTTTATATGATCCAATCGATGTTTATTTTAAATTAGGGGTAAACTCAATTCTCATACTTGTTTACAGGGGTGACATTGAAAAGGTTAGGAACCACTGATATAAACCGTGTTAAGTTCTTGCTTCATAATAAAATTTTGTAGCTTATGATCGATTAGGTAATTGTTACAGACCTTGTTAAGTTCCTTTTCAGCAGCCTCGACCTGTTTCTTGGCGGCAGCCGCGGTAGTAATGAACTGCAGGCGCTGCTTGTCCGGACTAGCAGACTTGCGGCCCGAGGGACCGTCTCCTGTTGAAGATAAACATCATGAATTATTAAAGTTTAAAACATAACTAAAATATTATTGGAGATAAAATAACATAGGTAAATTGAAATTAAATAACATTAGATAAAAAACAGTTTCACAACTATTGAAGCTACTTAAGGCTTGGTATTTCTGCTAAAGTAGGTATTTCGCGCTGTCAAAATCTGCGCGCGCAATACTTCGCCGAAGACAGCGCGCCAAAGAGCTCTCGCGGCTACACAGTATAGAAATACGCAGTTTAGAAATACGCAGTTGGTTAGGTTAGGTTGACTTCCTTCCGTTCAAGCGTCACACTCACAGCACTTTCTAATACAAATCATATCCAAGTGATACAAATTAAAACAACTTTCAAAATTTTTGGGAATATATTTTAGAATCGAATAAATATAGAATATAACTGCCAAATTAAACACGGTTCAAAGAGGCGTGGCGTCACCCGACCTTCCGGAAGTTCCGCGCCAGCTAAAAGAATTTCAAGATTACGTCACCCGACCTATCGGTAGATCCTCGGGAGCTTGAGCGATTGGAAAAACATTTTATGATCAGTTACATCTGCCATCTTTTTGGCTAGAAGATTCTTCTATCTTGCAGCTTAGACCTTAAGCTACAGACCTTATACAGTATTTTTGAAACATTCTTACGCATGGTGGAGGAAGGGACGCTCTAGACACTCAAGTCCACAAGGTGTCACATCAACTCGAGTTTTAAATCCGTTGACATCTGCTGCATCTGCCATCTTTTTGGTTAGAAGATTCTTCCATCTTGCAGCGTAGACCCTGGTGGTCCCTGGAGGCATTCCAATTGGTCCACGATGTGCACTTGCACACCTTGGTCAAAACCACTTTTAACTGATTTTTGCAGTCAAACTTGTTTTGACCGATTAAGAGGTGATCCCTGACAACACAGAAATTTGGTAAAATGGTCCCTCATGACTTAAAGGTTAAGAACCACTTGCTCTAGACACTCAAAACTACAAGGATACACATGAACTCCAGTTTTAAATCCGTTGAAATCTGCTGCATCTGCCATCTTTTTGGCTAGAAGATTCTTCTATCTTACAGCTTAGACCTTTAGCTACAGACCTTAGACAGTATTTTTTATTATTTATTTGTGTCAGTGTGCTCTTCTAAAGAGTGTAAGACGATTGTTTGTAGGTACTATTAAAATGTAATTTTAACTCATTGGTTTTGTCTCATATTTGAGGAATGTACTATGTATCATGAGTAGAGTCTTCGTTTAAAAGGATGCGAACGATTTAAATTTCAATGGGTAGACAAAATTGATAATTTTTAATTATCAAAAATTTAAGCTTTCTCCAGTAACACTGATATTATTATACTGTGACTCATCAAAGTCATCATTGTCAAAAATATTGACAAATCGCGAACTGTCACGGCCAAAAAACTGACACGCGTCCGTCCTCCGTAAGCGCCACCGCGCGACTGATTGAGATTGTCCAAGCCGTCATGGACGATTTTTTCCACATTTTTTAACATAGTAACTAAATAAGACGCAATATAAAAATTTCATCCGTTAAAAGCCCTCAAGTTATTTCTGAACTTTAGTTTAGTAAAAGATTTAGAATCTCAAATCGCTTATTTTAAAAATAAAACCATATATAGAAAACGAATAGAGGTAACTTTGGGAATTTATTCTATCGAGTCAACTTCATTAAATCGTGTTTCCATCCGTTAATAGCCCTAGAAAATATCCTCAACTATGCCCAATAAAATTCTTAGCCTTTAATTTTACTGTTTAGTACCTCAAAAATGAAAAATGAAAACATCATTTTCGCCATTTTCTCTGCTACCCGGCCTTAAAGCCTGGTCCGTGAGCAGGTAGAATTTTGTCCAATGACCCCAAGCTACCCATTCTTATCGCTCGCGCGTAATTATATTGCTGTCGCGACTGTGCGACGGGCGCCCGCAGTGAGTGTGCGAGCGCGACAGCAACATAATTACGCGCGAGCGATAAGGATGGGTAGCTTGGGGTCATTGGACAAAATTCTACCTGCTCACGGACCAGGCTTTAGAAGATATGATTTTTTTATATCAAAAAGCTTAATCCAGAATGGCCTTAATTGCATCTTAAGCCTTATCATTCGCAGCTACCTCACAAACTCTTTACAGCCAGTCTGGTTTCTCCAGAGGTTGCCTCTCATCTCTCTTTCTCTAGCGTCTTGTAGATTACCAGCGTCTAAGGCGTGTTACAAATCCTAATCGGTTTGGTTGGTACTAGGGCTTGTTCCAAGTCCGCCTGGCTAGCTACCACCATCTTACCTAAGTCTGTCCCCATTACAACAATGTTAACAGCATTGTTGTGTTCCGGCAGTCAGAGGTAAGATAGCCAGTTCCTCCGTGGTTGAGGATTCCGGGTGAAGCTCGCTTCCACCTTCGGCCTGATCGTCACTTACCATCTGGTGAGATACAGGCCAAGAGCTTCCTCATTGAGGATAAAAAAAATCTATTTATTATTTCGTAGCCCTAAGCACTCTTCAATCAATTGCTAGGGGTCCCCTTCTAGCTTTCCTATTGTCCTGGTGTTCTTGGACCTGGATCACTAGCGTCTAATTCCTGCCCTATTACAGATGACTTATCGTATTTTATACTCACCGCTAGCTGCCACCTGGCAAGCGTTCCTCAACCGCTCTAACTCTTCCTTCAGCAGTTGGCGATCCCCTTCCAGCTTCATCCTCAGGTCTTGATGATGCGGGTCCTGCAGCAAGGGTGACCTGGTGGAGGCCATTGACTGCTGGTAGTGATGGTCTTGGGTTATGACACCAGCGTCCACGCCGGTCAGATTACAGGAGTCTAATATTATGGGTACTTATCGCTTCAAATCCTTTGGCAAGATCTCTAGTTCCCGCTCCAGTTATAGCCGGTCTCATTCCAACTTTTCCCAGCATCTGATGACGTTAGTCCTGGATTTTAAGCATCATATTCACGATGAGTAACATTAGTCTCACCCTATTCAATACCGGCAGGCGTTTCTTAACAGCTCCAATTCCTTGCCCAGCTTGCCTGTTCTTTCCTTATTTTTCCCTAGCTTTTGGTAGCATTAGTCTTGGATTACAGTAGTCTATTCTTATTTTATAGGTACTCACCACTTGCAGCCACTTGGCAAGCGTTCCTCAACCGCTCCAACTTTTTCTCCAGCTGTTGGCGGTTCCCTTCCAGCAACCTTCCCAGATCCTATAGTATCATCGATACTGAGTTTCTAGCGTCTAAGTCCTGGCGTATTCTATAGGCACTCACCACTTGAAACCACTTGGCAAGCGTTCCTCAACCGCTCCAACTCTTTCTCCAGCTGTTGGCGGTTCCCTTCCAGCAACCTTCCCAGGTCCTATAGTATCATCGATATTGAGTTTCTAGCGTCTAAGTCCTGGCGTATTCTATAGGCACTCACCACTTGCAGCCACTTGGCAAGAGTTCCTCAACCGCTCTAACTCTTTCTCCAGCTGTTGGCGGTCTCCTTCCAGCTTCTTCCTCAGGTCCTGATGATGCGGGTCCTGCAGCAGTGGTGTCCAGGTGGAGGCCAGCTGCTGGGCGGCTGATGAGAGGCTGTTGGCTGAAGACAGCAGGCCGGCCTGGCAGCGAGAGTCTTCTATGCATGGTGCGGTCAGCTAGAGAACGACAGGACAATAAAATAATAAATCAAAATCAAAATGATCTTTATTTGTGTAGACTAATTAAATTAGTACTTACAAATCCTCAAATGCTCTTAAGGAGCCTATACATGTCTCATTCTTTTTTTGTCCTACCAGCGCCTCGAGACAAACATTTGGCAAGGGCTGAGAAGAAGCGCCGCAACACACTCAGTCACCACTGTCTGACGGCAGGCCTGGCTCACTCCGCGCGGTACATCCGATAATTACCTACAGCGAAGCGCCCCGCCGGCGGGTATTATATCAGTCGAGTGTCACGCGCGCGCCCGTCAGGACGCTGGCGTGCGTTGTAGTGTGATTATAATTCTATGATCGAAGAATTTAAAAATGGACATAAAGAGAAAGAAATATTGTGCGGCGTTCGGGTGTTTAAATTCGAAAAGAAATCTACCGGATTTATAATTTTTTTTCGCTTCCCAAAGATGCTGAAAGGTATGTTGGCCATGTAGGTAATCAATAATTCTTAGGATAGTATAGGAACCTAACCTACTATGACTACTGCTCAGAATGCGTTCGTTCGTTTCAGCCAAATGACGTCCACTGCTGGACAAAGGCCTCTCCCAAGGTTTTCCATAATGAATGCGTATGAGTCATGAATGCTACATACGTACCTCATTACATATAAGAAGATTAATTATTTTTTCACTAGACAGCAACCCTAACAGCGTAAGAAGAGTTCAGAGGCACGCGATAGAAAGAGACAAAACTTGTAGGTGAATAAAATTGTAGGTACGTAGTGCTGTGCGAGCTGAATTCCACTGTATCGCGTCGTAGCAAGACTCGCATTTATTTAAATCGTCTTGCGGAGTAATCCTTCTGTACCTGTACTATTACTTATTCTGTGCTGCCGGTTTGAAAATACAGGTCAAGTATTCGTTTGAAGTTGAGATGCAAAGAATCATTTCACCATCATTTACTCTTCACTTCAGGAGCACGACTCTCTCTAATACAGGTAAATTAAGGGTTAAGTCTACACACCCTGAGTTGCCCAAAAGTTTTTGAGGGGCCACATGTTTGCGTAGGTTCCAAAAGCACAACAGCCACCTCAGTAGGAGTATAAAAATACTGTTAGAATAACCGCAGGGGTTGGTAATTTTTTTGGCACATGTTACGATTTGATAACCCGCATACCGTCTTCCATAAAACACATTACTACCTGAACATAAGTGAGAACAGAGTTGGCAACATCAGCGACCTTGGATTGTTGTAATTACCCTGATTAATTATAATGTCTTCCAAAAGCACAATAACTACCTGAGCAGATGTGAGTAGAGTGTTGGCGGCGTCAGCGACCTTAGTTCCCGCGCGGTCCAGCTCGGCGCCTGATTCGCCGCCTACGTCAGCTGCTAACTGCTGCACTTTAGCCAACATGGCCGACGCCTGCACAAACGCTGCTGACGACGCGCCCATGATCTAGAAATATAGGCTTAATTAGAAAGAAAGAAATAATTTTTATTTATTTAGTCCAACATCCTTAGACTGCTTACACAGTTTTTTGAACCAAATGGCATCGACTCAGCATGTGTCATGCTCTAGTTTAGGACCTAGAGCATAACGCTGGTATTCTGTGGCAGCCATATTAAGTGGATATGTCAACGTGAAATTGTGAACTCTGTCAGTTTATAATATAACAAACGCTGCTGACGACGCGCCCATGATCTAGAAATATAGGCTTAATTAGAAAGAAAGAAATAATTTTTATTTATTTAGTCCAACATCCTTAGACTGCTTACACAGTTTTTTGAACCAAATGGCATCGACTCAGCATGTGTCATGCTCTAGTTTAGGACCTAGAGCATAACGCTGGTATTCTGTGGCAGCCATATTAAGTGGATATGTCAACGTGAAATTGTGAACTCTGTCAGTTTATAATATAACTTTACTTTACTTTTACTTTATTCGGAAAACAAACAGTGTTAATTGACTTATTAACTATCTGAATATAAAGCTTTACACCAATTATAGTATATTTTCGCATACAATAACTGAGATAATGTTTACTAATATACTTAAATTATTTTATACTTTTTACGCCACAAAGAACGCGTTAGATTGTAAACTAACAGTGGGTTAGGTTAGGTTAGATTGTAATATAACTACGTCAGATTATAATCTGACGGAATTCACAATTTTACGATGACAGATATACGACACTAACATTCAATAGTTTTACACATATTAACACAATTCTCTTTAAGTGTGTGTTGCGTGTGTAATGTATCTATTTATATGCATGCGTGTGTGAGTGTAAGCAACAAAATTAGTTCAAGAATAAAGCTCATATAGTCTGGTCCGGGAGTACGGTCTGGTCTGGTACGCTCGCGCGTAATTATGTTGCTGTCACGCTCGCACACTCACTGCGGGCGCGCGTCGCACAGTCGCGACAGCAATATAATTACGCGCGAGCGATAAGGATGGGTAGCTTGGGGTCATTGGACAAAATTCTACGTGCTCCCGGACCAGACTATAGTAGACTTATCAACTCTGAAAGGGATCAACACCGTATCGCGTATCTCGAGCTGTTATCGCCTTTCGCGCGCTGTCAATCGCGAGTCGAGGCGTTTACGTTACGGTGCGGTATAAGTGTGCGTTGCAGTATGGAGTTTCTGAGAATACTGACCGCCTTGTTGTGCGACGTCCTTAAGGCACAAAATAAAGTACCTAAATTATTACAGTAAGTATAGTTTACCTCATTCTCCTTATTCTGGTTTGCGCGAGGATTGAACACGTAGAAGAGCTTGCCTGACGTCTTCGCGAACTTGGAGGCTGAGTTGTTGAGGGCCTAAAATAAAATTAATCGTTTTTAAGTAATATAGAAATAGAAAAACCTTTATTTGACACGAAAACACAAATTAAAATGAACAAATAAAAGAAGAGAAAACACAAAAAAACACATTAAACACACAACATTACATTAAACACTACATAAATCTCGTGTCAAAAAGGCCCCCGCTCAGTATTAATCGAGAGTCAAGAAGTACTTAGTTAAATAAAAATATCAACTCAAAAGGAAATTTAATGGAATAATATGTTTGTAAGTGATTTTATGAGATCGGTGCAAGATTTCGTAATAATGCTTAACATTACATCTCAGTCACGACGCGAACAGTCATTTTTAGCTATTTTATATTATACACAATATGTATTCCCAAACACAAAAGTTAAAAGAGATCAGTAGGCCTAAGATGCGCGCCGTGATAACTTTTATCGACGTCAAAATGTATGGGCAAAATCAATAAAATGGCGTGATAACTGCTTATCGCGGCGCGCATCATAGGCCTACAGGTGTTTTACAAAATTCTACAACTTTTATAAAAAAATATCTATCTACAACCCTGTTGTGTTAACTGCGCACCTAGCGGCAGTGACGTCACATCGACGCTCTGGTACTGACGGAGCGCGGCGAGTGAAAGTCGCATTCCAGCGAAGTGCGCAGTTAAGCAGGGTACTCATCTAGCCGTGTAGCATGTGATGTATCAGATACTGTATCAAGTGAGTACATAGGCACGAGCCCGCTGCGAGCTGCTCGCGCGTGGCTCGCAGGGAGATCGTGTAGGCAGAATACTCACCTGCCATGTAGCACGTAACGTAGCATGTAACGTAACCAACCTTCAAGTGAGTACGGCTCGTCCACGGTCATCGCGTATCTGGCTGCGAGCTCCCGGATCCTACTGCGAGCCGCCTTTGTGCTCGCAGTGATACCGCCACTCGCGCGATGACCGTGGACGTGGACGAGCCGTACCAGGCCTGTTCATCTCCGCGAGTTTGCATCGAAAACAAAACACGCGCGACTACCCCTCCTGAGATACCAAATCGACAGGACAATCACGAGCGAGTATTGACGCACGCACGTATTCTTCACATATTTGCATTGTAAAGACAATAAACCATATGTAAAAACGGTGGTGCAATTAATACTCTGCGGTATTTTTTAACTGCCTGAATAATATTAGAAACACAAAATATAATTCATGCTTATTCATGTATTTCCTCCGCCATTTTTCGCAGTTTGGCACCTCACGTCACACATCATTTTACCGAAGTCAGCCCTATGTCTTCGGCGCAGTACCGATCACTGACGTTTGTCAACAAAATGGTGCTCGACTCTTGAGACAAGCTAAATAAAATTACACCATATTGTTAACGACATTGAGCATACATTTTTTTAAATACCTTCGCGAAGAAAATCTTCTGTACGTAGTACTTATTATTATTCTGTGGTAGGATCCAGGAGCTCGCAGCCAGATACGCGATGACCGTGGACGAGCCGTACTCACTTGAAGGTTGGATACGTTACATGCTACGTTACGTGCTACATGGCAGGTGAGTACCCTGCCTTAGCTCGATAGTGTGCTATCTTACCTCCGTGCCTCCATGCTCGCTGGCCTCGCAGACGCCGCGGCTGGCGTCACAAAGTGCTTTTAATTCACGCATCATAGCCTCGCGACTCTTATCGTCCATCGTAGCGCTTAGAGCTTTACCATCTGCAATAATGAACACGTTGTATAGACTGCACATCAAGCTTAACAGTGCGGCATCTTATGTAGTTGAATTTAGGTGCTATTTTGCAACAAAACTGTACAATATTATGTGATTCCAACGGTGACATTAGATTCTCAAATGCTGCTAACTTTATGGTGGAATGGGATGATTGACAACCACAAAATCAGCAACCGAGCATTAACTTGATTTGCACCATCTGTCTGTCAAACTCCATACAAAAAAACCAGTTAAGTTAAGGTGGTACAACTTAGCCTAAAACAAGCACATACCTACTCATCATCATCATCATTTCAGCCATAGAACGTCCACTGCTAACTTTAGGCCTCCCCTAATGCTTTCCATGTTGATCGATTGGTAGTGGCCTGCGTTTTCCTGTTACCTTTATGATATCATCGGTCCACCTTGTCGGTGGACGTCCCACGATGCATTTTCCATCCCAGAACCTTGCTGCTCCATCGGCCGTCATACCTACTCATGATCCATTGTATTGTCAGGATTTTACTCTTGAAATGTTCAAACAGGAATGAACTTACCCTTTACAATGTCGGGCATTAGTTCAGTGATCGTGGTGACAGCCAGATCAGCCGTTGTGTAGTCTGGGTTTTCTCGATCTAAAAATATAAATTGTTTTAAGTAATTCTTAAAATCATTTTGTTAATCAAAATCAAAAATACCTTCAATATAAAAAGTAAGTAAAACAGTAGTTATAAACATCTTTTTTATGTGACAGGAGGCAAACGAGCAAACGGATCACCTGATGGTAAGTGATTACCGTCGCCCATAGACACCCGCAGTCTCAAGGGCGTTACAGGTGCGTTGCTCTTTATTACGAAACAGCTGGTAGTTATGTATAGTGTTTTTCTTAAAAGTATACCTTTTGATTTTGATTGACACAATATACTGGATTTTATACCATACGGCAAAGGTGTTATGGATCAAATTCATGAATCTCTTACCTGAAGTAGCGGCCACAAGGGCGGCCAACGCGGCGTTCAGTTGGGCCACCCTTTGCGCCAGTTTCCTTTGCAGCTCGCTCGCTGAAGCCTTGTCCAATGGGGCTTCGGATAGAGCCTACAATAAAAGTTCAATCAATACTTAAAAACACATTGTACCGTTTCGGTTTTGTTTTAGTATGTTTTTTTTTCGGAGTTTTATTCCAGGAACATAGAGCGACGAGTTGAGCTCAAAATATGAGAAATTACAACAAAAAATACTATCTAGGGCAGTGGTTCTTAACCAGTGGTCCGCGGATCACTAGTGGTCCCTGGAGGCATTCCAAGTGGTCCACGAAGTGCACTTGCACGCCTTGGTCAAAACCACTTTTAACTGATTTTTGCAGTCAAACTGGTTTACTTTTGACCGATTATGATTATGAGGTGGTCCCTGACAAGACAGAAATTTGGTAAAATGGTCCCTCATGACTTAAAGGTTAAGAACCACTGATTTAGGGAAAAAAGGTCTTACTGCTTTAAAATCAAAAATGATTATTTATTTAGCTATTCTCGTCATAAAAAATCACAACCCTATTCGATTGTGAGAGAGCGAGAGGAGCAGACGTGCAATAAATAATTGGTGTCGTAAAATTAACAACATTATTTTGTTAGAGTAGGCGCACACCGTTGATTTTTAGTTGGCCGATAGTTGTGCCCGATTTTAAATTGTATGAAGAATCGGCCAAATTAAATCGGCGTAGTGTGCGCACTCCCATACATGCCCATACTGATCAACTGCCCGACTCAACTATCGGCCGACGAAAAATCAACGGTGTGCGCCTACTCTTACACTTTACTGTAGAAATGTATGTGTATTAAAAGTTATTTGAATATTTTATTCTAAACGCATGTCTTTTTTATTCTAAGCCGCTTTTTTACTTCAAATGGCGCAGGTAAACAAGTAAAAGTTGATATGTCTGACTACCTTCTTGAGTTCATCTTCAGCCTCGGCCAGCCTGTTCTTAGCATCAGCAACGGTGGTGATGAACTGCAGCCGCTGGCCCTTCCTTATCGGGTCATCATCGGAGTCATCGCTGGCAGCTCCTACAAAAACAAAGAATAGTAAATAAAGGACTTTTTCTTCGTAGAACAAAAAGATACCACAACAACTTCATATCCACTACATTTCATTAAGGCCCAGAACAGACGGTGAAACGCAACTGCAAAGAAACTGCAACTTTCTGATGATTCTGATGAATGAAACTGAAACTGAAATTTCAAACTGGTCGCGTCATGTGTGGTCTCTCAACGGACGCTATGGCAGAAATTTAGATGCAACTCAAAAGTAACTAGCAGTTGCAGTTTCGTTGCAGTTGCGTTTCACCGTCTGTTCTGGGCCTAAAAGGTAGTCAGTTGACACGCATGCATTTGTATTAGATGGAGAAAGACGCAGCAGTCTCATATAAATATCATGACTAAGAGGAAAGCCACGTAATAGTCCTAGCCTAGCTTTAAAAACAAGCCACAATCCATACGAGCCATGACAGACGCTGTATCTAATCAAAAAAGCAAGATCTCACAGTTCAAATTAGCAAAAGCATCCTTCAGTCTGTCCAATGATTTGGCCAGGTCGAGAGTCTTGACCTTGAGATCGTCTCCAATCTGCTTTCTCGAAGGGTCTTCCACCAGTAGCTTCCAAGCCAGCGTAAGGTGCTGCCTTATGATCGACGCTCCATCTTACCAGAACCTACCGTTCAAGTTAGCGAAGGCATTCTTCAGTCTATCCAATGCTTTGGCCAGGTCGAGGGTCTTGTTCTTGAGATCGTCTCCGATCTGCTTCCTCGAAGGGTCTTCCACCAGCGACTTCCAAGCGGCTAGAATGCGCTGCCCGACCGAAGAAAAGGTTCCAATCGCCATTTGACAGAGCTGTATCCAATGAAAAAGGCAGATCTCACCGTTCAAATTAGCGAAGGCATTCTTCAGTCTATCTAATGCTTTGGCCAAGTCGAGGGTCTTGTCCTTAAAGTCGTCTCCGATCTGCTTCCTCGAAACCAGCGGCTCGACAGAAGAAAAGGTCCCAGCAGCCCTATCTAAAACCAGAACTCACCGTTCAAGTTAGCGAAGGCATTCTTCAGTCTATCCAATGCTTTGGCCAGGTCGAGGGTCTTGTCCTTGAGATCGTCTCCGATCTGCTTCCTCGAAGGGTCTTCCACTAGCGGCTTCCAAGCGGCTGCGAGGTGCTGTGCTGCTGATGACAGCGTCTCAGCTGCCGCTGTCAGCGCACTTTGACAGTGCGGCTCGTGGATTGATGGTGACGTCACCTGAAAGACAATATTTTATGTAGAAAACAAATATTACAAATATAGAAAATCCCACGGTATTTGACTACATACCGTCGTCTTTGACCTAAATTCCGACTTGAAAACTAAGTTTATGTTAGGGGAGAATTGTCATTAGACCCGGAACACAATTACATAATACAAAGAGAATAAAACGGAAATCGGTTGCTTGTAGGGTAGGACTTAGTTTTTAAAAGCTTACTGCAACAATGTAAAGTAGGCTGGCCTGGAACTCGATGGACCAAAGATCTGGTGCAGGTCGGAAGATGGGAAAGATCTGGATGTCTAGGACCGAAAGAACCGTAGCACAAGCCGATGATTGCTTCTTACCGTAGTACAAGCCAGCAAATCCTTGGCTGCATCAGCGCATCGAGTACCAGCCTCGTCCACGCCAGGCGCGGCTGGCTCCTTGGCCAAATCTATGAGCTCGCTTTACTGGCACAAGCTAGCATCAGCGCAACGAAGTATTACTGCTCAACGTCCTTATCTAAGTTCACTTGAAACAGGCCCAGCTGAACGAAGAGACAACCCAGGATCGAGCGATCAGGCGCATGAGAACGAGGAGGGCCGACCCCAAATAATGGGAAGAGGCACGGAAAGAAGAAGAAGTCCTTATCTAAGTTTACGAAGACGCCTTACCGTAACACAAGTCAACAGATTCATGGCCGCATCAGCGCAGCAAGCACCAGCATCGTCTACGCCGCCGCAAGCTCAGTATGTGGCATGTGCCAACGCCGCTAATTCCCGGGCGTTTGCGTCTTGCCCACGTCCTTGGCTAAACCTAGGTCACCTTACCGTAGGACCAGCCGCAGTAGGCTCGCTAGCCGCCAGCATCATTAGATCCCGACGTCCCTAAGGACGTAGCTAAGTAAGTCCACAAAGATGCCTTACCGTAGCACAAGCCAGCAGATCCTAGGCCGCATCAGCGCAGCGAGTGCCAGCTTCGTCTACGCCGCTGCAAGCTCAGTATGTGGCATATGCCAACGCCGCTAATTCCCGGGCGCTTGCGTCTTGCCCACGTCTTTGGCTAAGCCTAGATCTACTTACCGTAGCACCAGCCGCTGTAGGCTCGCTAGCCGCCAGCATCTTTAGATCCAGACGTCCCTAAGGACGTAGCTAAGTAAGTCCACAAAGCTGCCTTACCGTAGCACAAGCCAGCAGATCCTTAGCCGCATCAGCGCAGCAACCACCAGCATCGTCTACGCCGCTGCAAGCTCAGTATGTGGCATGTGCCAACGCCGCTAATTCCCGTGCGCTTGCGTCTTTACGGTCTTTCCCACGTCCTTGGCTAAGCCTAGGTCACCTTACCGTAGTACAAGCCAGAAGATCCTTAGCAGCATCAGCACAGCGAGTGCCAGCCTCGTCCACGCCAGCCGCGGCGGGCTTGCTAGCCACTAGTATCTTTAGATCCCGACGTCCCTAAGGACGTAGCTAAGTAAGTCCACAAAGCTGCCGTACCGTAGCACAAGCCAGCAGATCCTTAGCCGCATCAGCACAGCGAGTGCCAGCCTCGTCCACGCCACTGCAAGCTCAGTATGTGGCATGTGCCAACGCCTCTAATTCCCGGGCGCTTGCGTCTTGCCCACGTCTTTGGCTAAGCCTAGGTCGCCTTACCGTAGCACAAGCCAGAAGATCCTTGGCCGAATCAGCGCATCGAGTGCCAGCCTCGTCCACGCCAGCCGCGGCCGGCTCGCTAAAAACCATTGCTGCTAGATCCCGCGCGCCTGCCACCAGGAACGATGTCTTGCGGCCGATATCTTTAGCCAAGTCCACGAGCTCGCTGGTCCTTTGTGGCGATTTGCGTCTGAACGTAAACATCAGCTTCTCTGATACGCGGCCGTATTCGTACGCTGCTTCTTGGATTTTCTGGAACAAACCGAATTCGTCATTTAAGATGTCGCGTTGAAACCGTTTCCTTTCGAATTCTTCATGTTAGCAATATGATACTATTGGTAAGTGCCGTGTAAAGACTTTTGGTGATAAACCAAACCTATGAAAGATTGATAAATTACTTTCAGTACACTCGTCGCCAAATAGTATACACCACGTTGGGCGCCAAAATGATTACATGTGAATTAAGTACTGAAAACATCTTTAAAGAATACTAAAAGTAAACAGCACATGAAACGTTTCTTTTTTAATCTTAAAATAAACAAACTTGCTTATTTTAGCAATATTAAAACCCCACGTTGGGCGCCACTTTTTTTTAGTAACAATCCCGCATTTTGTAAATAATACAATAATGTCAAGCCTCACCTCATGATCATCAGGGTCCGTTATAAGGCAAACCCTCTTGGCAGCATCACACAGCGCTTTGATTTCGTCCAACAAGTCTTGCCTTGAATTGCCATCTTTAACTCCACTCAGCATCATGGCGTCTAAATATTTAATAACGAATAATATTGAATAACCAAATTATATGCAGGTCTAGCGCGTAACTAAGTCAGTAGGCACCTGAAGCACAGAATAATAATAAGTACTACGTACAGAAGTTTTACTTCGCGAAGGTATTTAAAAAAATGTATGCTCAATGTCATTAACAATATGGTGTAATTTAGCCTGTCTCAAGAGTCAAGCACCATTTTGTTGACAAACGTCAGTGATCGGCATTGCGCCGAAGCTATAGGGCTGACTTCGGTAAAATGATGTGACGTGAGGTGCCAAACTGCGGAAAATGGCGGAGGAAATACATGATTTAGCATGAATTATCATGAATAATATTAACTACTTATTTACCTCTCAGTGTCTTGAGGCAACTTAACCCTAGAGTGCTCGCGCTATGAGCATTTTGCCGCCCTCGGCCAAAAAATCGAGTTATTTTCTACACGATGCGTTTGTTAAAGTCAAGCGTTTCAGTAGCTGCCTCCCCATACTTCACCTCCATGTATTAGAAATTAGAAGAAATTTAGTGCGCAGATGACCGCAATAGAGAACGATTGTTGAACGTATGTCACGTTTTGCGGCAAATTGCTCACTGCGCGACTACTGACGTAAGTAAAATTTGTGTGTCTGGTTTTTAGTGTAGTTGGAAGATTATTAGTTTTTATTGCGTATAATCTTGTTTTGACATTAATGACGTCATAACATTGATAGTTACTATTAGTACTCAATTTATTTCATGTCGTTTTCGGTAAAATTCACGTAAAATACAAAAAATGAAAAAACAAGGAACATGTCGGATTTCGAAGAAGCTGGTGCACTAAAATTAGTGGAAAATGTATACTAAAGTTATAAATAAAGTAAACATAGTCATTACAATACTGTTATAGAACAATCAGCGGCAGAATCTGAAGATGATGTGCCAAGGGTGCCATAGTTGTGCAAATTTACTGTGCAACGCACATTAAATGCACATGTGACAGGCCTGTTTTGTTGAAGCACATGTCATATGTAAGGAAAACCTTTAAGTGTGCTAATAAGTTTAATATTTGATGATGTGTGTAGGTAAAAACAATAGTGTTTCTAAGTTTTCTATAAATATTTCCTAACATTTCCAAAATATATTTTTTTCTTTAAATTTTAACCACAAATCTTTAATAAAGGTTATTTTCTAATAGTGTATGCTTTATTCTATCATTTTTAACTGATTTTCATATTTTTAAACTGTTAATTGACACACAACCGGACTTTAAGTTTGGGCGGCAAAATGCTCATACGCGAGCACTCACGTTTCACGGAAAGGCGCGACTACTCTAGGGTTAAAAAAGTACATTCTGTGTTTTTTTTTATTTAGGCAGTTAAATACTGCACAGTATTTAGTACACCATTTTCTTTATTTTCTTCCATCATACACAAGAATACGCGTGCGTGAGTCAATGTTCGCTCGTATGTGAGGCCTTGTCGAATAGTATCCTGTAGGTGGGCATTCGTGCGTGTTTTGTTTTCGATGTAAGCTCGCGGAGATGAACAGGCCTGCCTGAAGTATGGAAGTGGAACGTGAGGGGTGACATTGACATATGGCGTGAGAGAGCATGCTAATCTAGAAAAATCTGCAAGTCTCGCTAACGTTTGACGTGTCAGAAACACCTTCCTGTGCCGCTCCCATACCTCAGGGGTACTGACTCGGTTAAGACATATGAAATAAATGCATTATTAGCAACAAAAACATAAGAAATATAACTGTACCTTTGGTCAACTCCGGCAACAGTTCGTTGATGGTGTTCATAGAAGTGACTGCCGCTGAATAATCTACGTTTTTCGGATCTAGAAAAACACAAGGCAAATTAAACACATTTATAAAATAGTAATGAGAGTTTAAAAGCCCAATCAATTTATACTTGAATTCAAATCTCAATGACTTTATACAACAATACAAAATAGTTTTGAATTACAAATTCCTATGATAATAATTCCGACTTCAACACAAGAATTTTCTTTTATGCAGAATAAACTAAAAAAAACCCCAAAAACTGATAGCAGGCATTGAATTCCAGTCCCTAGCAGTTTTCATTATACAAGAGTTAGCGAAACACTTAGGGCTATATTTCACCGGGACACCATGGCGGCGCAACCAGTCGCCGCTACCAACAAAATGTATACAGCTTTGCGCAATCAAACGGACACCAAGTGAGTGACTCTCTATAGAGCTGTATACATTTTGTTGGTAGCTGGCGACTGGTTGCGCCGCCATGGTGTCCCGGTGAAATATAGCCCTTAGGCTGAGTTGCACTGGTTGCACCACCCAACTTTGCCCGTAACTATAACGATAACCAGGGTTTTTTATGGAGTTTGTCACATTTTTGACGTTTGTCAAAGTTAAAGTAAGATGGTGCAACCCAGCCTTAGTACGAGCCGGTGGATTGTCGACAATGTAGGGATGGTACCTACGTAAAAGTTGAAATACAATGATTCGATATTGCTACAACCGTAAAGTTTTAAAAAAAATCTTACCTGCATAAGCAGTGAGGTACAATGCTACAGCTGCATTGAGCTTGCCCATCTTAGCTTCGGCAGCTTTCTCAAGCTCCTCCACGGCCGACGCGTCTAGTATTGGTCCTTCGTAATTCTAAATATCGAAACACTCTTTAATACAAACATCAAATAAGTATAATAATCATCAGAAATACTTACATTTCTGATAAAAAATATTGATTAATTCAATTATAAATTTATTTTTAAGGCATGCAGACACCACCAGTTAATTTAGAGTTGACCAATACCATACCATCACCAATTTAATGTTTCCAATAGATATGAGGTGTATAATATGATTCCATAATGCAATAGATACGAGGTGTTTTAGTATGAAATCGTGAAAATTATGTTTAAATAGTTTTGTGTTAAGAAAGATTTGGATATCATGTCCTTCTCCTTTTTAGTCCCCCATAAAATTTTAGGACTCCTGGTAGCAACCAGTATTCCTTGGCAAATTGAATTTATAAAATATCGATTAGAAATCAAGTAAAATTCGAATCTTTTCGATTAGGTATCAATCCCAAATATAATCGACCAGCTGTCCAAACTGCTCGTACTTAGATATATAGAAAAAGAGTTTTTTTTTTTTTTTCACTTTTTTCCGAGTTTTGGCTCACAGGTGCATGAATGCAAATAAAATTACAATTCTCAAATAAATGACACTGAACTTCAAGATCTTTATACTGCACATAAGTACTTTTTTCATAAAAATAAGTTAAATAACCTGAGAACTCAGATCATAGAAGGAAATAGATCTGAAACGGGGGCGTGGCGCGTGTCTCCGCGATATGCCCAGAAACGAACATCGCCCGCGAAGCCAGGTTAGTCGCTTAGTGTGCGTGACGTGCCTTATGGCCAATCATAGCATTTTTGAGCCTGTTGTCGTACTCTCAGTCACTTTGTTTTTACACAGTTGAATGTGTGTGTGGGAGCTGTGGTGGGGGAAATGTGGGGACACTGGTTCTCGTTTTAGTTACGCACGAGTTCATATCTATTCCCTTCTATGATCTGAGCCTGAGAAGGACACGAGACCCACCAGAAGGATAGCAAACCTGTTCAAGCGCCGCCCTAGCGTGGTCGATAGTCCCGCAAGCGATCTGAGCGGCCGCGATGAACGAAGCCCTTCGGAGCGTGGCGTCCATCTTGTCGTCCTGGATGAAGCTATTGCGCGAGCGCTACAGGGAACATTAGTACCAAACCATAGACACGATGCAGGTTAGAGAGAAATACACCCGTATTCACAAACGATACTTAGAATAGAATAGAATATTGTTTATTTGGCACAATACAAAATAAAACATACTTATAAGAACTAAAAAATAAACCTTATCTATACTTATAATAAATCTGTAGAGAGGTCAATTCTGTACATGAAATATATTTTCAAAATAACTATCAGGGGGAGATTAGTGATCGATACTGATGCCAAAAATGCAATCAGTAAAATTTTTGTCTGTCTGTCTGTATGTCTGTCTGTCTGTCTGTATGTTCCTTATAGAAACAAAAACTACTTGACGGATTTTAACGAAACTTGGTACAATCATTCTTCATACTCCTGGGCAGGTTATAGGATACTTAGGAATTCCCACGGGAACGGGAATTAGCGGGAAAATCCTTTTGTATAAAAAATTTAAACCGCTTAAGTTAGACGCTTGAAATTTGGCATGCAGGTATCTTAGTAAACTTGAAGCTCAGTTACAACAGGATATTGCAAAATTCCCACGGGAACGGGAGTTAGTGGGAAAATCCTTTTGTATGAAAAATCTAAACCGCTTAAGTTAGACGCTTGAAATTTGGCATGCAAGTATCTTAGTAAACTTAAAGCTTAGTTACAACAGGATATTGCAAAATTCCCACGGGAACGGGAGTTAGCGGGAAAAAACATTTGTATGAAAAAATATAAACCGCGTAAAATAGATGAAGGGGGTAAAACGGGATCCACGCGTACGAAGTCGCGGGCGGCCGCTAGTCCCAATTAAAATAAAGAGTGCCCTGTGCCAAAAAGGTCCCTGGCTCAGCATTAGTCGTGACATTAAAGGCCACGACACTGATTTTCAGCAAGGACCTTACTTATAGCCTGACCAGGAACATAAAAACCCTCGCCATGTTGCGGAAAACTAATGGTACTAATTTCTTTTAATGGCAACAGTAACTGAAAACTTCAATGACATGTCACCTTGCATGTCAGTCTATTGCTGTCAAAGTGTAAACAAAGTTTATTTTAAATGTGCGCAATTGGTTTTATGAATTAAATTGCTAAAATATTTTTATAGTCGTGAAAGAAAAGTGGTTCACAATGTGTTAAAGTATTTGTCGAAGAGAAATACTAAGGGTTTGGACAATATTTTCATTGAATAATGTTTCCGACAAAGGTTGTCAAATTGACTGACATGTTTATCGTATAGTACAGTCCAATAAGAAAATTAGCTGTGGTTTGTTTCAACTACCTATTTTAAATTTTTTTGTCACTTTCTAAATGTTGAATTTTATGGGATTGGGAAAGAAGTACCGAGTTTGAAGCGTTCATGAGCAGACATTGCAGTTGAATATTCAAGTTCTGAATTTGATTATTGATGAATAATAAAATAAATTCTACTAGCTCGATTGATGGTTTCATTTAATTTATTTAAATCAGGTTACCTATAATAATATTTTTTTGTTAATTTATGAAAATATCAAATTAGCCCGTAATCCTGAATCCTGATACATAAAGTTAGCCTATTAATTTAACACAGGTACGACTGTACTCAGTGTTGCACTATCAAATGCAATTGACGCGCCTCTATTCCAGGGTTTTTATGTTCCTGGTCAGGCTATACAAGGACCTACTTGCTTATGTAAAGCAGCAAATCGAACGCACAGCGTTGAATAAAACTCTGTGATTGGTTCGTGTGTCACCCTGTGCGTTCACACGTACTGTGAGACCTCATTGTAATGTTTGTAAATACGGGCGTTAGTCTATTTACAAAACCATAATTTGGCATGCAACTGATAGTTATAATTGATTAATGAACAATGAGAGAAGAATGCAGACTAGAAAAGACAAAAGGTGATGTGTTTTTGCCAGTATTTAATTTGATGTTATAAATGGCTTTATTTATGAACACATTACCACTTGTACTGTGTACAAAAGAATAAAGATAGGATAATGATGTACAGTGGGCCACAGTTCCAGCTATCCATTTCCGGTAATGCCGTCTCGTTCTATCGCAAATAATTATGATGAGAGCCAAAGAATAAAATGAAATGGGTAGCTGGAATTGTGGTCACTGTACAGTGTAGACACCCACCATAGTTAAAATTGAAAGGAGGTGAAAAAAATACAATTTTTCAATCTTTTATCAATACTAATAATACATTACATTCATCTGCAAAAATACTTAGAATTACTTCATACCCCAACATGCAATTGCAAACCATTCAAGCTCAAGAAATAAATGTTAAACCAAACCAAACCAAAAATCGTGGCAAGGCGAAAAATACTACATGATTGTGTACTAAACTATGCAGTTTCATTTAAGATTTCAAGAAGTATGTAAGTGGTAGACCCAGGGTGTCGTTAGTAAACAGTAGAGCTTATGTCTAATCAAGTTGGCCACCCCTGATCTACATGTTAAGTATAAACCCACCAACAAATTAGTAACTCACCCGACATAGCTCGCCTCTCTTGAGCGTGCGAGGGTCCAAAGAGAAGTACATCTGTGTGGACAAGTCTGCAATCCTCATAGCAGCATCTTCAGCTTTTTCTGAATTCTAGACAATTAAAATTAGTTAGCCAAAGGTATTCATATTTAGCAGTTGGCACCACTGGCGATTGACATGACCCATGACATGTAGTGACGCCATCCTGGTGATTCTAAAATGATAGCCCTCTGGTTCGAACCCCACTGCCACTGTACTATTGTGGGCAACTCACTTGTAACACAAAGGTCAAGCATGTATTTGTTCTAAATTGAATAAAAGACATTTCACAGTCATTCCTAAGCTAATCGTCTAATTTAACAAAAAAATCAATTTTCAAGGCGAAGCAGAAGTTTTTTAAAGACCTTTTTTATCAACTTTAAACCAAAACCTCATGGAGCTCGCCGCTGTCAACCGGTCAGTATGGAAATCTTGGGGGGAGGCCTATGTTCAGTAGTGGGTGTCTTGTAGCTGAAATTATGATGATAATGATTCAAAAGCAGAACTTACAAGATCGCCTGAGGTAGCCTCTGAGAGTGCCTTCATGCAGTCGCACAGCTCTTGCAGTTCGTCCAGAAGCTTCTTTCGCGCCTCTTCGGTAGGCTGCTTCTTAGCAGACTCGTGAACTCCTAAAAAATTTATTAGAAAATCGTTTGAACTACCACAACAATTACGTCTTCCAAGATCAGTAAGAGTAGGTACTACCAATCGGACACGTTTTAAGGACCCTCTTATAATAGTAAAAAAAAGCAGCAAGTGTTACTTAGTAGCACGGTGATGTAGCGATTACGAGACGTTTGGTAGCATTTATATGATTGTTAAATGGTCCATAGATAAGGCTGCGGACCCTCATACATTGTCCGAGAACTCCCAGTGGTCAAATTCTTAATTGTGCATTTTCAGTGTCTTCAAAAAATAAGTTGTTTAAAGACTACTTGCACTTACCATCAATAATGCTGGGCATGTCAGCTTCCATAGTTTTGATTAGTTTTCTCGCTTCTTCTATGTTGCTTTCGCTTGGCTCTGTAAAATCAAATCAAATCATTTATTTACGAAAAAACATTATCATTCATTTTTACTACCACAGGCCGGTTTACATATAAATCAAGGTGTCTCTATTATTTGTAAAAAAGCTAACAACTGATTTAATTTAAATAATATCAAAACTCACCAGCTAAGAAAGACACGATTTTGACGGAGTTAGAGTTGAGCTTATTAAGTTTCCTGACGAAGTCCAGTGACATGTCTCGCCGCATTGGAACTTGACCGACCTGAAATATGACAATAATGATGACATATCCTGGCATTGTAAGAATTACTCAAGGAATAAGGAACTATTTGTAAACATTTCGTAAATTGTTAATTTCTATAAGTCCCTTAAGGATTTGCCACACTGGGTGCGGCTTAAGGATTAGCCTTAAATGTATTGATCGCCATCGCTGCACGCCGGCTGATCGCGTGTGATCGCGTTGGTTTGGCCGAAACTTTAGGGTGCGGTCTGCGGTCAAGTAAAAGCAGCGGTCAGATCACATCAATACAAGCTGTATAAAGACCGACATTGTTGTTCATACATGATATGGGCTGCGTTCACCTTGATCAGACCGCAGAACGAGTGTGGAAAATTCTTTAAAATTGTCAAAAAAACTTACCACAATATTTTGGCGATTGCTTCCTTTATCGGTGACCACTACTTGCTGAACTGTCATTATTTGTGTTCCTTGAGTGATTACCTGGCCTAAAGAAATTGGTTTTTAATTAATACTGTTAAGACTAGGCGCAGACCACCGATTTTTAGTTGGCCGATATTTGGGCCCGATTTTAATTTGTATGAAGAATCGGCCAAATCGAATCGGTGTAATGTGCGCACTTCCATACATGCTCATACTGAACTGCTCGACTAAACAATCGGCCGACGAAAAATCGATGGTCTGCGCCTAGGCTTATATTAGCTGCCAATGACATTTGTTAATAAGAAATTAAACCTGAAAAACTAATCTTCTTGGTAGGGAATATAATATTATCATAACATTACCTACAAAACAGTTACCTATTTGGTCATAAAATTACTTAACTATTTAATAAGAAATCACACAAATTTTTGGTTGACTAAAAATAATTTAATTTAATTATAGCTAACTTATTTAAAATAAATAGCGGCACAATAGGCGAACTTAATGCCATGTGGCAATCTCTTCCAGCTAACTAGAAAGTTAGCCAAAACAGAGAATTTGTGTAAGCGGTATAATTTTTTTTTTGGTGGGATTCGAACCCGCGTTCCTCGGATTTCGAGTCGGCCAGTCCGACCCATTCACCGTTCGGCTATCGTGGCTAGGGCTAGTCGGCTATTTTGTAATTTTAATTCGACTTTTCATACGTTTAGGTTAAAACTAAGCGAGTATACGGAACGTTTATTACCTGGTTCATAAGAGATGATTTTGCTCGGGCCAACAAACGTCTCCTCCACTAGAGCCTTGGAGTTGTGCTGAATGTGCTCCATCAGGTGACCCCTGCCAAACGAACGTAAAATTACTTTGTGTATGGTTGGTTATGGCATTGCTGGCCGTCTAAAAAAAGGTGTTTTTGGAGAGCATCATTATAAAACCATCCAGTCCAATCATGCCAGATGCCTGTGGAATGAAGTTAGTCACTCAATCAAATTCTTTATTTGCACAATTTAGGGTAAACATGGTTTGTGAACTCAGTATTTTTCTATTTGGCCTCCATGCGGCGCGGAGAGGTCGCTGTCCCCTGGTGTCTCCTGCCTGCTGAGGTCACTGTCCCTTGGTGTCCCCTGCCTGCTGAGGTCACTGACCCCTGGTGTCCCCTGCCTGCTGAGGTCGCCAGCCCCTGGTGTCCCCTGCTTGCTGAGGTCACCGGCCCCTGGTGTCCCCTGCCTGCTGAGGTCACTAGCCCCTGGTGTCCCCTGCCTGCTGAGGTCACTGGCCCCTGGTGTCCTCTGTCTGCTAAGGTCACTAGCCCCTGGTGTCCCCTGCCTGCTGAGGTCACTGGCCNTCACTCCCCTGGTGTCCTCTGTCTGCTAGGTCACTAGCCCCTGGTGTCCCCTGCCTGCTGAGGTCACTGGCCCCTGGTGTCCCCTGCCTGCTGAGGTCACCGGCCCCTGGTGTCCCCTGCCTGCTGAGGTCACTAGCCCTTTGTTTCCTGCCTATCACAGTAGCCCACCTGCCTTTGTTTGTCACCTGTCATCCGCTTAGGAATTCGGGAAGTCGAACCTTAATTTCGAACTCCTCCTATGTTCTTCTGATTAATTTGCGGGTCCAATGACAGTTTAACTTTCCCCCGGGACAAACTTGACCTTCATTGGTTGGATTGTTGGCGGTCAAGCTGTAGATCCTGGCTACACAGGAGTTGCAGTGGTGGGAACGAGAGGTGGGAATAGTCTCGAGTAGCTCACCTGCCAGCCTCCACGTATTCCTCGCCTACAGCGTGGTGGACGGCGCTCTCGGCCTGCCACTTGGCTTCCATGCGGCGGCGAATGAGGTCGATGTAGCCTTGCAAGATGTCTCGGATTCGATGCGCGTCGTTCGTCTTCACGCTGTACTCCTTGTCACTGAAAGAAGGATGCAAGTGGTTATTTAAATTAGCAATATCTTGTTCCCCATCATCAAAAAGTGCCTGGCTTCAAACTACGCAAATCTTATACAGGGTAGACAAAAAAGACGTATAACTCTTTCAAATTAGACGTTTCGAGCCGGACGTTTGTCGTGCGTTTGCTGGACCGCACACGGTAAATTGTATGAGAACTGCGTCGGAATAAAATTTTCTATTTTACCAATAGTTAGTGTGCGGTCTTGCAAACGCATGACAGACGTCGTGCTGAAAGCGTCTAATTTGAAAGAACCCTTAAAAGCCACATAGCTTCAGAACCGCATGTGGAAAGGAAGTCGCGGATGGCGGCCATTTGTAGCTCGCCTTATGGAAACTTATTCGTTGATTTTTCGTTCCATGGGGTGTTTCACGGGAGAGAAGCGTGCATTCTGCGTACAGGCTTATTTATTACCTGTAGTCCCCCAAAGTTCAGGTTGAAGGTCTCTGAATTCCCGGCATGGTAGGTCTTGACCTGAGTCAATGGCCACACCTGCAGGATTTCCTGATGATGATGATGATGATGATAATAATGCTGATGAAGATGATGATGATGACATACCTGTAGTCTCCAAAGTTCAGGGTGAATGTCTCGGACTTCCCGGCGTGGTAGGTCTTGACCTGAGTCAATGGCCACACCTGCAGGATCTCCTGATGATGATGATAATGCTGATGAAGACTATGATGATGACATACCTGTAGTCCCCAAAGTTCAAGGTGAAAGTCTCGGACTTGCCGGCGTGGTAGGTCTTGACCTGAGTCAATGGCCACACCTGCAGGATCTCTTTCGTGACCTCGTCGAGGCGCAGGATCGACTCTGCGTTGATACCCAACAATCGGGGCACCAGCTTCTTCTTGCCTTTTTGTTTTTCCTGTACAAGTACATAGCACATTGCAGTACTTAAAGTTACAATTTCATTATGGCAAAAAGATGTAAGCGACAGATCAAGAAACAAACGGTTTAGTTAGTCTCAGAGATACGAGAAAAAAGACATATTTCAATCGGCAATAAATAGGATTTACCTAATTACCCACATTTTCTTACATGATAATAAGAACTGAATATGAATAATGCGTTAGACCTCCATTAACTATTACTTTTATGGATGTTTGAATTAACCCTTGGAACAGCTATGGGTCAATAAACGGCACATAGATTTGAGCTCTGCAGGTGAAGATAAGGTTGGAAAACTAATACCTATTTCATAAGCCTTGTTCAGGGCCAGTCTAACTCTGCATTGACCTGTCTTTTGTACTGAGTAACTTGATTAGGTAGTTGAGAAGTCTTTGTCAAAACCCTACCTTGACCAAGAAGAATGTGACTCCATAAGTGGGCAGGTCCCTGGCGGTCTTGGTGTAGAGATACTTGGCTTCAATGGGGCTGAGGCCGCTGTGCTTGCGGTATTCCTTCAGGATCTTCTTCTCGGCGCCCCATGATCCTGAATACTGCTCAGGCAGGTACTCGTTTAGGCTGCGAACAGATTATATCTTTGTACAGACAAGAATTTACCACAGCGGATGCTTTTTGTGGGCAGCGGTCTGAGGGCTGAGTGTGAGTTACATCAAACGTTCTCACTAGTGAGCGCGATAAAAAAATATATGAAAATTTTAGTTCTTGAAAGTTTCCGCTAGGGGCGCTGTACAATCCGTCATACATTTAATGTCATTTGTTGAGTATGAGCAACAACATTGTTTGTTGGTCTATACATGTTGTATTGATGCAATCTGACCGTGCGGGCACGCACAGAACGCAAACTGTACCGCTGACAAAATGGTATGAGCGTTGCAAAAATGGCAAATCACGCACGTCACAGTAAAAAAAATGGAAGCCCTATTATAAAGCAACAATAATGTAGGTACATAGTTGTAATGGGTTACCTACCTACTTATGTGTGAAACCAAACATCGAGTTTTGTTTCTTTGAAAACCATTCATAAACTTCTAATATGCGATGCCATGTAATATCAACGTCTTGTTACGACGATGATTCGTTACATCGAAACACTTTACTTCGAACGATTTTACGAGTAGATGTCATTTGCATGTTAGTAAAATAAAGACATAGCATAATAATGAGTAAGTGTAGGCAAAAAATGTTTGCAACACCTTACAACTAAAATTGAATGAAGCTACGTAATATTACCCGCCACACACGCACCCCTTCTTTGAAAACGGTTTTCGAAAAATCGAGCTTTGCTATTTGCAGTAAAATTTGGCCCACCTTATACAATCCGTTACTAGAAGGCCTATAGGGCTTAGATTGTATAAATCCCCTTTTGTACTCACTTTTCGATCAGCCCAGGCTTATGCTTGTCTTCCTGGAAGTCGCCGTAATGCACCTGGCACTGAATGCCCGCAAACTCCACCGCTAAAACAAAAATATGAAATGTTATGACGGTAGAAATAAATTAGATTTATCTTTGGAGGCAGCCATGTTTTTAACTTTTTACTTCTTCTTTATGGACATAACAAGCGCTGCTGAGGAGCATGTCCGTTTCCGGTTAAGATTATTTTATATTATCCAGTATTTAACAGACAAATAATACGTGAAATTATTATTTAAATACATTAAATAAATTAGTCCTAGTTTATAATTAATTTAGTTATCCAAAAATAATTGTCTTAAGGTTTTACAATATATGAAATTATTCAAACAATCAATGGCGTCTGTATCCGTTTGGCGCCATTATTGTATTTTACCAATTATTATTATTTAAATCTGAATTAAATAACCTTGAAACACTAAAATATATTATAATAAATGTCTATTTTAGAAAGAGTGAATGCTTAATTATTTATATCCTCTGAACCAATTTAAATATATTACTGTTATCACAGAATACATAATAGTAGCAACAGAAATTGCACTCCTTTGTGTAGGATCAGATGCCGACATTTTAACGGTAATAATAATAATGCAAAACATCCAACGCACATGGTGCATTCGAAATCGCACCTTACTACTACGCTCACAAGAGCGAATTTTTTTTGTGTTTAGAATTGATCTACGTCACCGCTCAAGCGTCAGGGTTGTATGAGCAAAGTAAAATAAATAAAAACTTAATTTTAAGAAGCATTTATTGTATTTACGATTAGAAAACTTTAATCTAGTGGAGTTTGTATAATCGTACCATCTCTAAAGTACCTATTAATAAACTTCAGTGTTGCGATAATTCGAAATTAAAGAAACAGTTTTAAAAGGTGCAGTGTCGGAAAATAGACACGGTGAAGTAAAGTTAATGTTTTTATTAGCTAAAATAATTTTTTTGCTATAGTTTTTTGTCTTAAGTATTTCAAAATAATTTATTATTTAAAAAGTGTAGTTTTTTTTTATTATTTAAATCACTACAGTTAATTATTATTCGTAAATAATAAAATTTTTCATTAAAGAAGAATAACAGTGCTGTTGGAACAATAAACCTTGATTGCGACTATGATCGACCGAGCGTGTATAGATACGCGTGTGCAAACAGGCGCGTGGCGGCCCGGACTGATTTGCAACTTGAAGTTGTCGCGCGCTGTAGGTAATTATCTCGGCCGGCATAGGCGAGTGACGGAGGCCTGCTGTTATGTCATAATCTAGCTGAATAATAGCCTCAACTTCCGGTAGCGCCCCGTAATGGCGCTCACATTAATTTGTAAAAAAATAATTTGAAAAATAATGTGTAGTCCTGCTTGCAATTGTTAAATTAAATTAAAAATAATTATACATGTAAGATAAGCTTAACAAAGTGGTGCATCCGGGATGTGACGTAGTAAGGTAGGTACGGCCGGCATTTTTAACAAACACGGAATAATAAAATAATAAATAAATAAATCAACTCTATCCGGTCAGTATTCTTTGTATGAAATTCCGTACTGCAATGCAAACTTCTCTAAGTTCTCTATCCGCACCAGTCACCATCTATAAGACCTGTGATAAGACCGTAACGTAAACGCCTAGCCTCGGTTGACCGCGTGGCGAAAGGCGATACGTTGTTGATACCTTTTTCCGGGTTGATATGGGACAAAAGTCGGTGGAAGGTTGAAGAGGAAGCCTATGTTCGAAGACGAACCCCAAAAGGCTTACTATACATAGATAAAATTGTGCTATTAAGACCTTACTCCTTACATACTGGCAGCATTGCATTTAGACAGCAACTTGATTTCGAATTTAGAAAAGTAATCGGCACGACCTGACATACGATTCGACCACGCGTCGTTGCCAGCTCGCGCCCGCCGCGTCGGGTGACGTCACGCGCATAAGGCATGTTCTACATTTGAGTGCAGATTGCGCTGCTAACGATTAATACTCGTACGTATCTGCGAGTGTGATTTAAATGGATTAGGTTTTTTTTTTTTTTTTTTTTATGTGATTAATTATGTGTGAGCAGACGGTACAAATTGTTTTTAGTTTATCCTATAAAATCCTATCCTAATTAGATATTATTATGTTTAAGACATGGTGTATTGTTTATTTATTAAATAAAATATGTAATACTTACAAAAAAAAACAAAGTACTAGGTATGTAAGTACTTATGTTTTCTGGTTCGTTTCGTAATAAATATTTCTTTCTCTCTTTATGATTCTCTGTTACACTGTTATCATCATAATTATTTTAAGAAAAAAATAATGAAGTAGTTATTCTAATCGTAATAATAATATTATGTATTTTTGACGAATGTGAAAAATCCTACTTTCTTGCTGCAGAAAGCTCAAAAATTTCACCCACAAGACTAATCTCAGTAAAACGTTTAATGTATTTGGATTTAAGAACTCTACATTTTACACTGCGCTTCTAGTCCCAAACTAAGCAAAGCTTGTACCTACTATGGGTATTAGACAACAATTATGTTTCGATATTTTTAGAAAATCTAATTTTAAGTTAACATTTTCATCAAGTTCTTATGAAAAATAAAATTCTTCAAACCTAACTCTAAATTCATTCATAACTGTGACAAATAAATCCCAACCACGCATAAACCGGCTATAACTACACCGCATGTGCCCCCGCCCTAACCGCGATCGATCGCCGACTCGACGACGCAACGACCAGTCGCTCAGTCGTGCCCTAAACGCCGCGCCACGATGTTCAGCGACCGGCTGGACATCAAGCTCATCGGGCTGGTCCGAGACCACCCGGTCTTGTACGACCTCAACCACCCCAAATACATGGACTTCAATGCACGAGAAGTCGCCTGGCAAAGGATCGGGGACGAACTCAAGAGACCCGGTGAGTTTTTTACAATTTACATTCTGCGATGTTTATACGGACGCCGTGTTGGGAGGTGAGACGGTACCGTGTGTAACTCGAACGTAACTCACTCATGGCTTTTTTTCGAGAATAAATATTCCGATTTTTGGTATTATTGTAAAATGTTTTTAAATGTTAATTGCATTAAATTTAAATTAAAAACGAATGAATTAAGTAAATATAAAAATAAGTATTATTCTATTAAATAAATTTTGCTGTCTCTTTTGTGTAAATATCTCTTTTTTTCTTGTCTTGTGTGGTATAGGTTTAATAAAGTGTGTTCAACCTTTTTATTGTTACATTTTCTTTTAAATTGTGATAGGAATTAATTAAAAAAAAACTGCTAAAATTTTCATTTTTATTATTATACCTATTTCCTCAGAAAACTAAATAAACATTGGATAAGCTGCCATGTACCTCCTTTTTTTAAAATAACTAATGCATATTTTTTTCTTTCCAGCTGGTGATTGCAAAGTCAGATGGATAAACATCAGGGACGTTAACAGAAGAATAATCAAGAAGAACCTCACATATCCCCGCGCCATCCACCGTGTGTACAAATACGAGGCAGAATTGGCTTTTATGAAGCCTTTCTACAAGGACGTCGTGGTGCCCGCCGACTATGGTGCCGGAGACGACAAGAGCCAGTGGGACGATGCTGGAGACGACAACTGCGATCTTCCCGTAGACACGGACGATTCGGAGAAGTCAACCAAAAAGGTCGCTAAAGTATCCAAAAAGTCGAAAAAGAAAAAGAAATGGGACTTCGATGAGGATGAGAAGCCGCTGTCGACGATCAACGACGCGCCCTCGACTTCGTCTGACTTCGATCCGGCGGATCCTGTGGACGCATTCCTGCTGAGCATTGGCGCTACATTGAAAACTTTTTCACCGTATCATCTGAATCTGGCGAAGAGCAAAATTTTCAACGTGGTCCAAGAACATGATTTACAACAGATCGTTCAGAAGTCCAGCGATGTGAAGTCTTCGGATAATATTTACATGGAGTGATTGTCTCATCTAAATTTTAGTTCAAAGTTAAATGTTAGTTATAAAGTTATTATAAGTACTTTCGCTTAAGATTTGGCTACGAGTGAATATTAAGATTGTGTTATGTGATAACTTTTCAGTTAATGTACGAGTGTACTTTAAGTTTTATAATTTGTTGAGTGTTTTTCCAAAATTGAGAGAAATATGAATGGTTAATAAAGTGCTAACTAGATTTATGAGTACTAAGTATGTTTTAGGTGATTAAAAATTATATTTGATGAAAATAAAATTATCTAATTCGATAGAATGTGGAAAACAGTAAAAAAATAATTATAACCTTGTTTTGGCTTTTTTTTAATTCAATATTCCAAAAACGAAGTAGCTAAGGATTTTAATCAATTTAAGACAAAGTAAACAATCATACGGCTTCCATTGTCGATCGATTATATCTTATCGAGAACAAGTAGTATCACAGTCGTGTATTATGTCCGATGCCGCGCACATTCACGCTGCGGTCGTTACGTAGTCGCGTCGTAGTGTGCGTGCGCCGCGTCGCCAGACGGGCTAATTATTTACAGTGCGCAGTGATTCAAAGATGCCTTTTAGAGATAATATTGCGAATGCAATGGTAATGAAATCTTAATGACCAGCTATTTTATCGTAGCATAACTTGAGTCTATCTTATCCAGGACGGTGTTTACTTTGAAAAGTAAACTTTTGGATGAAATTCTTTCATATTCATATTCAAAGAAGGACATCAAGAAATTTAAGATCCTTTGTCACAGGTATACTTTGTTTAAAAACATACTTATTCCATCTTTTATCCTATAAAGGTACAATGTTATATTTTTTAAAAAATCTTTTTATTTAAATTAAAAATTAACGCAATAAAGATTAATTTCAATAACTGATGTTGAATCAATCTTTCATTATTTCGTTAATTTTCATAAATTTTAAATAAACATAATTAAATAATTAAGCGCATTAAATATTTGTAAAATAATTATTTTTAAAATATCTCGATCGAAACTCGCTTGCGAGTCGCTTTCCGGTTCACAGAGCAAAGCAATCGGGTCTGCGACGTTGCCGCTCCGCGCACGGCACGACGGCGAGGCGAGGTCGCCAGTCCGCGCGGGACGCGTACGTGAATCACACGATAACAATATTTAAACTAATTTGTTGTTTATTTCCTTATTTTGGGCATTGATACAATTTTCAATTATAGCTAGCGGTGTCACAACAATACATAACAATAAAATTTGTGACGAAAAGTGGCGCCAAAAACTCAGTTCAGTGTAAATTTTGTAATACGGTAAGGGTAAAAGTAAAAATGTCTTTCAAGATGAAAGAAAGAGAGAGACTACCATTCAACAAAAGCCTAGATCTGACACTAATAGCGCTGGTGAAGGAAAACGCGATTCTGTACAACACAAAGCACTCCAAATACGCGGATTACGAGGCCCGCGAAGTTGCCTGGCAGAAAATAAGCGACAAAATCGGCAGGCCAGGTGAGTTGTTTTGTTTACACTTATTAGTGCACTGTTCTACAACGTTTCTGTGATTGTCGTGTGTCTGATAACCCGGGTACTACTCTAAACTCTAAGCTCTTATGTATATTTCATATCCTACTAATATTATAGGTACATGCGAAAGTTTGGATGTCTGGATGGATGTTTGTTACTCTTTCACGCAAAAACTACTGAACGGATTTTGATGAAACTTTACCGTATTATTCTTTATAACCCAGAATAACTTAAAGGCTATAATTTATGACGATATGTGACAGATAAATTTCAATAAATAAATAAGACGTGTCTAAAAAGCGCCATCTATCGTCATTGGTTAAAATCTACTTCTTCTCAGTCGGTACACTCTTGTCAGAGTGGTCGTGGTCATCATTTTGAATCACGATTCAGAGAGATGTTCCTCGTAATACGGCGCCATTCCTCGCGGACTGCAGCCTTCCGTATTCGTTCATAAAATATCTTTCTTCTTCCTAAAAGTTAGTTAAAATCTTTTATTAATCTAAGGTTAAAATGATGTTCAATACTGAAACGACTTAGCTATGAATTGTCAAGAGGGCGCTACTATCAATACTGGATTATGGACTCCGCGTAACTATTAGATCTAACAAATTAGCGACTAGAGGCGCAGTGCAAAATGTCCAAGGATTTATTATTTACTTATTACAGGTGCCAAGTGCAAATCCCGCTGGATCAACATCCGGGACATGATGCGGCGCAAGTTGAAAGAACGCTTGAAGAACCCTCCCCAAAGTGCAATCCACTACAAATACGAAGAGGAACTGTCCTTCATGACGCCTTTCTTCAGAGACTTTACCGAGGACGCGGGCTCCGAAGACCTGGCGGAATTTTTAGAGGACGAAGCGAGCGGCGAGGTTGAGATGCCCGAAGAAGTTTTCGTAGTGGACGGAATGGACGAATATGAACATGAGACCAAACCAAATATGAAGCGAAAACATGAAGAGAGCTATAATGAGCACGCACTACCGCTGAACTCCGCAGATCCTTTAGAAGTCTTCCTTATGACGATAGGATCGACTATGAGGTCGTTCAGTCCGTACTACCTGAACCAGGCTAAATCGAAGATATTCCAGGTGGTGCAGGACTACGAGCTGAAGCAGATAGTCGGGAAAGACGACAAGCCGGGGAGTAGTAGCGCAAGATAGTTTAGAACTTAGGATATAGAGACTTGTTTTCATGTAAATATTTCCGTTATTTTGTTGATGATTGTCATTAAAAGACTTTGTTTTTAATTTTATTTTTATTTCAAACCCTGTAAGACTAAGTAAACTCAAAAAAAACATGCTTAAACACATGCCTATATTGAGACCTACACTGAACTGTCCTACCAAACTCAATGAAAGGTGGGAGCCACCATCGTTCAACTACATAGTTTCCAACATGGCAAAAATCGGAACTAGCGATCCGGTTGACGGTGGCGCCCCCTGTCAATGTCACGGGTGGGACAGTTCAGTGTATTGGGTCTATAGGAAAGCAGATTATCTGTCATTGGTGACGAAATATCGTCTCTGGCTTACACGTATAGCTGAATTTGTTTATGTAGCACAAGGCAGGTATTTGACCACAATGGTACCTGGTGTTAAGTGAGATGCAGTCTAGGATGGTACATATCTGCCCTGTAAGTGCCTATTCACTCGCACCTGGATTATAGTTTTCGGGATAGACAGCAGTAGGCAGCGAATTCCAGTCCCTAGCTGTTCGCATTATAAGAGTTATCGAAACTGCACAGGGTTTCTTGCATCCACGCTCCGGTCGGAGTAGAACAGCCTTAATCTGTCTCCCTCGCACACTACCACATCAGGACGAGTAACAGAGATGGATAGTGCAGTCAACTTACCCTGATCCTCTGTGACTGGATGTCTTCCTTCCAAGATAGCATCTCTGGCTTGCACATACAACAGGTTCAACTGTACCGGGTCTCTTGCGTCCACATTTCGGTCGGAATAGAACAGACGGCGTTTTAGCAGCAACGGCGCGTCTCCCGCGCCCAACTCGCGAAGGGTGGACTTTTGTTCCAGCCACTCCACTGGGAACAAAGACTTGATTATTACAACCATTTAAAAACCTTTAACCAGTTAGTAGTTGAATAAACACCACATCAATATCAACATAGCATAAAGTTATCGCGGTTAAAAACTTATGAATCTGAATCTCATCGTGAAAGGGATGTTTCCTGGGTAAAAAAAAGCAAGAGTTTGAATTAGTTCGTCAGTTAACTTATAAAAAAATACTCGACACGTATTTTTCACTTTTTTAAACTAATCAAAATTGAAAGAAATATAGCGCGCCAAATTTCAATAGAAAAGGCCCGTAATGTCAAGGAGTGCATAAAAGTTTAGCACTTTGTGACGTCACGCGGAACTTTAACGAACCATAACTTCGTAATTCCTTTTTTGATTGACAAATAAAAATGTACGTGTCCAATATTTTTTAATAATATAATTGACGGACTAAAAGTTTTTTTTTTAACTAGCCTACCGTTATCATCAGTCTTGATCTTCTTGCTCAGCTGTTCGAGCTTGGCATCTCTTTCCTTCTTCTGGGCCACGCGCTTGAGCGTCAGCGTCCCCGTGCCGGCTGGCAGTTTGTTCTCATCCTGCTCTGTTTCCCGGTCGTGACACTGTATAGAAATTAGGTATTAGAAAACGTGAGTAAGTAAACTAAGGTCATAAAAGTCATTTATTTTCTGAAAATAAGCTTTAAAAAGCGCTTTTACAGTCCCAATATGTCCCTATCACTGCTTCGGCATAATAAATGAGCCAATGTTGAGAAGAACGCTGTAAGAAACTCAGTCACCTTTATCAGCCTCTTTTTCAAGGATGTACTAATCGACAAAGTGTTTCAGCCATTTCGAACGGAAAACAAAATACGTTTTATGCCGCATGAACTCTAGAAAACTAAACCTAAACATGTTTCAGCCCAATGACGTCCTCAGCTGGACAAAGGCACAAACAAAGGCCTCACCCAAGGATTTCCAAAACGAACGGTCAATATTTTATCATTTTATCCCGATTATTCTCAAGCAAACTAAGCATGTTCTACTGCAGGACATAGATTTCACCATAAACTGTGGTGTGGAGAACTGGAGAAGCAGTACACAATACAGTACACTTACTACTACAGTACAGTTTACAATAGTAAGTATTCGTAGCAAACTCACCAAGCCATATTCGTCGTGGTTTGTGATGCCGAGCCTGGCGCAGATGTCCACCATCAGCTCCTCAACTGTCTTGGACTCGTCCACTTGTAACGTCCTCACGGATCCTGGTCAATACAAACATACAAATTCTTTATTGTTATTCCACACGTTACATTAGCATCTTCAAAATAATATTGGACACCTAAACGGCACTATTCCCACCTCTCGTTCCCACCGCTGCAACTCCTGTGTAGCCAGGATCTACAGCTTGACCGCCAATAAGAACCCAACCAGTGAAGGTCCAGTTTGTCCCGGGGGAGAGTTAAACTGTCAATGGACTATACCTAACTAGGAAGCAATAAATAAATTGAATTTGATTTTGAAAACATTAGGGACCATGTCGGGCACAAAACGAAACTCGCAAAGTAACAGAGCAATCGCCCGGCAACCAAAAGGTCGTGGGTTTGATTCCCACTTGAGTAATTTTCAAGTTTAGTTCGCACGCTTCACTTGAATGCAAAAAAAATAGTAATAAATGTAGAAGTAACAAAAATTCTTATGTTATGTTTTTATTGAACCCGCGGTCATGTCATATTCTTTTAATAGCAAGTTTTCTCCCGTATCAAGAACCTACAGTAATCTTTTCACATTGAACTAAAATGGAAATTACGCTGGACGAGTGTTTAACCGGTCGATAAAAATAATTTATCTTCACTCTCAGTAAATGTCCAGTTTTTATAGAGTTCAAAGAACTAGACTGAAACGTTTTTTATTTATTTTAAAGACACAGTCGCAGTTAATTTATTAAGAGCACTATTCAATCGGCTACATAATAAGAATAAGAATAAATTTATTACTTAATAAAACTTAGCCTAGATACATTTGATTTCACTTACTTAAATTAAGGTTAGTGTGCGAAGGTAAAATTATATATTAATACCTAAACTAAGCAAAATTGTTTGTATAATGGCACCACTATACCTACAAGATATTTAGTGTTGTATAGGATTAGGCACCTCATTCAAAGGTAACTGCGATGGGTTCGATTCCCTTAGGAGATGTACGTTTTAAAATGACTGTGTATCTAAAATAAATACTCGTACCTACACTGTTAAAGACATTTTCGGCTTGAATCAACAAGACAATCTTGAATCTGACAATCTCCAAAAGTGAATTTCAGTCCCTAGCTGTTCGCATTATCGCTTAGGCCCAGAACAGACGGTGAAACGCAACTGCAACTGCTAGTTACTTTTGAGTTGCATCTAAGTTTCTGCCATAGCGTTCGTTGAGAGACCACACATAGCGCGACCAGTTTGAAACTTTCAGTTTCAGTTTCATTCATAAGAATCATCAGAAAGTTGCAGTTTCGTTGCAGTTGCGTTTCACCGTCTGTTCTGGGCCTTAGTGTGAACATAGGAGGAGTTCGAAGTTAAGGTTGACAGGTTGACTGCGAGGAGGGTGCTCACCATCCAGTAACCTGACGCGCAGGTTCCTCATGCGGCACAGGTAGTGAAGCTGGTCCCCGTCGCGCAGCATGTAGTAGTCCAGTTGCCGGTGGCCCTCCAGCCACACTCCTGAGCGCTCATCGTCAGCTGACGTCAGGAACAGGCCGTATACTGGAGGAAAAGGAAAATATTAGCCATCTTCGTTTTCTTTCGTTCGACTCTATTGATTAACTAACGATCGAATTCGACAAGCCCTGAGAAGTGCAAACAAAGGCCAGGCTAGGTCTTATACATGCGTTAAAATAATAAACAAATAAGGGTAGGTGAGACATGCGGCCATGAAATGATCCTCTTATTTTCACTACATCAAAAAATATGGCAAACTGAAGTGGCTATCGCTATATATATAGGTCGAACATCGGTCTTAAAAACGAAGAAATTACTATTAAAGCCTAATCAAGTGGCAGTGGGCGGGGCACATAGCTCGTAGAGACGATGGCCGTTGGGGCAGAAAAGTTCTCGAGTGGCGACTACGGGCTGGAAGACGTAGCGTGGGCAGGCCTCCTACCAGGTGGACCGACGATCTAGTGAAGGTCGCGGGAAGAGCCTGGATGCGGGCAGCGCAAGGCCGTTCATTGTGGAAAACCGTGGAGGAGGCCTTTGTCCAGCAGTTAACGTCATTTGGCTGAAACGTACGAACGAACGAAGCTAGTCTAATCACTATACGTATTAATAGGGTTTTAGAATTGAAATGGCAAAAGTGGTTTTGGGAAGCTTATCTGCTCGATGGACAGTCGATCTCAAAGGCGGAGGATCTTATTTTGTGACGTTTCTTTTTGGCGTAGGTCTAGTGTTACGTCCAGCTTCGGTGGAATTATATGTCTAATATGATTTTCAGAGTAGAATAATCACCTTTCCCATCGTCCCCCGTGAGTATCTTCTCCTTGACCTGCGCCTGGGCGGCGGCGACCGTGGTGGACGACTCGAACTTGAGCGTGCGGGTCACCGCGCCCTCGTCCAGGACTATCTTCAGCGACAGCGGGGCCATGGCTCATGGGGTTGCTGGGGACAGGGCAAAGAACATCAGGTACTTACAAATAAAGGTGGAATATAAACGACTAGCTTTCCGCCCGCGGCTTCGCGCGCGTGGACTACATTATCTACATATTTTACGAAACCCTATTTTTTTTTTTTTTCAAAATAAAATTTAGCCTATGTTACTCGTTGATAATGTAGCTTTCGAATGGTGAAAGAATTTTTAAAAACGGTCCAGTAGGTTTTGAGCCTATTCATTACAACCAAACAAACAAGCAAAGTTTTCCTCTTTATAATATTAGTGTAGAAGTGTAGACAAACAAAATCATTTATCTACGCTTCGATTTTACCGCCCGGTTTTGTCACACAGAACAAGTCTGCTACAATGCCGGCCCGCCGAGTGTATACAGGATGTCCCAAAATTATCACGGAGGATTCATCAGCCCTTATTTGATTATTTTAGGTGTTTTTTGTGCTAATTTTTTGGGACAACCTGTAAGTAGGTATATGCGGAAAGGCCGAGCGGCTTTTTTCCTCAACATTCATCTACCTACACATTTGAAAATATTCATGCATATTTAATAGGTCATAATAATTCATAGTGATGTCTTAGAAACTATGGTCGTATGGTATACAATCAGTGAATAAGCTTAGCATCTAAAATTAAACCCAAAACCGTCATCCGGCCAGATTTTAACCGATGATGACAAAAGTGAATCATGGCATTCGCAAAGACAACGTCCTTAGTCATGGCTATCGCTCGTCACAGCTGCAACGATCCAAGCTGCGCGTGCGCCGAACATACTGTCAGTTCGTCCTAAACGTCCTTAGCCGCGACTTATTCATTAAAAAATAGTCTTTAGCGGTCATTTAATTAATGCAATAAATGAGAAAGATTTAAGACGACTTTCCGACATTTTATTTTACACAGATACTGACTTCACCCTGGAAGATGTCGCTTCTTTGAGACAAGTCCGCCTAATTACCGTTTAAAGTTTTATATTTCTTGATAGGTATGGTTCTGTACGATTCTCTATATGTAGATCTATCCTTTAAATTGTTTGTAGTCATTTGTTTTGAATGTTGTGCAATAGAGTATCTAATTATTTATCTGTCTAATTGTTTGTCGTCCACTAAATACTATTATGTTAACGCATTATGTTATCTAAACATGAATATCATTACAAGATAGAGATACATTCAAGATTCGTAAGTCGTACTACATGTTTACCTTTTCGTACGCATCGTTTACTTCTATACCTTAACACTTGCCACTTGCAGGACTCAAAAAGGCGTAAGTAAAATTGATTAAATGCATTTATTAGGTCAAGAGCGACTCTACCAAGAACACTACAGTACTACTGTGGTAAGTACTCGAAAAAGAAATGACCTTAAGATCATTCAAAACCGCCTTTTTAACCGCCTCTGTGGTCTAGTGGTAAGACCACCTGCTTCAGACGCAGAGGTCCCGGGTTCGATTCCCAGTGGGGGCAGATTTTTCTGTTCGGTTTGGTTGGTGGTAGGACTGGTAGGGCTTGTTCTAAGTTCGCCTGGCTAGCTACCACCATCTTACCTAAGTCTGTCGCCATAACAACAATGTTCACAGCATTATTGTGTTCCGGCAGTTAGAGGTAAGATAGCCAGTTCCTCCGTGGTTGAGGATTCCGGGTGAAGCTCGCTTCCACCTTCGGCCTGATCGTCACTTACCATCAGGTGAGATACAGGCCAAGAGCTTCCTCGTTGTGGATAAAAAAAAAAAACAATCCAAAGTAAATTCCAAGAATGTTCATAGAATTTAAGCCAATATTATAAATTAGATGTGTCATTATTAGCAAATATGTACAACAAATCTAAATGCGTAATCAGTTTTCGCAATAACATTGATTCTACATATAAATCGAATTACACACTACAGGAAGTAACAGGTAAACTAGAATCACGATGACTCAAGCATTCGCAAGCATTCCAGTTCCAGCGAATTCGCAAAAGTTTTACCAAAATAAATATTCCCCACACAATCGTTTTCGTTTCGTTTTTTATTGACGCTAACGTATCGCGTCCGGCGCGGTCACAGACCTTACGGCATGACTTCGATTTGTCGCGGCCAAGGTTTCTTTAGAGGTCATCAGCAAAAATGCAAAAACAAAGCTTTTTGAAAGTAGTGAGCTTTCAAAATTCTAAGTTCATTTAGATATTTTTGAATTAAGTATTAATTTCACTACGTTTTGTTAGCATACAAATCTTAAAACATTTATGTTTGTTATAGCCGAAAACAGTTGAAAGAGATGTTTTTTAAATGTTTCAGAAAGTTTCTGCAACTAGTTTTAACTGGATCACCTTCACACTTTACTTATACGGAACACTTAAAAGTTTGAAGTCTTCACTTATTGTTATGAAGCTAATTAAAGTGAATTCACTCCATTAAAATTGAACTATTTAATGAATACCTACTTTCCTGTTAAACTGTTGTATTTGAATACAGTAGGCAGTTTAATATGGCGTTTACTAAACATTTCAAAATACCAATAGGTACTTAATAGCAGATAACAAGTGATTATATTTTTCGAGCTCCGAACCTGTGACTATTTGTAACACTCTACCAACATCATTCGCTATTTGCCAATCATCACACTGATACCCACTAAGCTCATTTTGATAAAACTTTTCCTTAAGTTCGTGCTATCACCGTTTCTTTGTTTGTTTACGGAACACAACAACACCCTATATTATGCGATAACATAGTAAGTACAACATACATACCGTATCCACTTATTTATAAACCAAAACAGATGATAACACACGTTTCCAACTTCAACAACACTTTCAACTTAACTTTAAAACTTTGTCACTTACTTTTAACTTATAAACTTAAGTTCCACCACAGATATAATACTAGGTTCCACAAACAGGTTGTTACGTCACTGTACCGCTTTTTATCACGATTTTTCTCGTCCAATAAGTTACTCGATCGACTCTCCCGTTCGACGTCTGACCTCACACTGGCTTCAAGACTGCATGGATGTGTCAGAAGTGAATCATCAGTGTTATGACAACACAACACTCTCGGCAGCCTTGAGATGACGAATAAGGAGACGTGTGCTCATTTAAGTTATCAGTATGGAAGGGTTTCTGATAATAAGGCATGCGGTATTTTTATGCATGGCAAGGACCGTGCCATATACAGGGTGTAAAGCAGGGAACAATACTTTTTTCCGGTATTTTGAGTCGTCTCACAAGCTTCATACAAACAGAAACACTGCTTCATGTATATGTTACTTTGATTTCAGTAAATCAGAACCTGTTTATTAGTAGACTGTACAGGATGCAGTCTATACTTACCTACTTGAATAGTATTGATAATAGTTTTCCTTTTTCTGAAATTATGGTGTATATTGTAGAGCCAGATTAAGGCATGTCTAAAATAAAATATTTTTCGCACGTATTTAATGATATTATATTATTTGGGCTTTTATTATTTAGTTTTATGTCATGAACAGTCAGATTTATTGTCTAGCCTAGCAGATATGTTTTTTTTTTAGAAAAAAATTACAGGATTTTTACTTTTATTTTCCCTGTAATGACTGACTCTTTATTACTTCGGAAATTCCTACCTTTCTACACCCTGTATACACGAACCAGTTAAAATTAAATGCAACCTATGCATTTTATTATTAGCTCTATCCACACGACTGCAAACTTGAACTTGACGCTGTAAAACTTGATTTCAAACAGTTAAAATAACAGTATTTTTCCCGCTCCGATAAGCCACTTACGTCATTGATGACGTCACCATTAATGTATGCAGCGTATATTTACGAGGAAAAATACTCGAATGCGATCATCAAATTCTTGCTCCGCAGGTAAGTTCTGTAATTAGTTGTTTAGAATCTCTTTAATATACCTACTATTGGACGATTTTAAATTATTTTAGCTCAATTTCGTTCAATCACACACTTAAGTTACGGAGTAGCTGCCACTATATGATTGCTCCGAGATGGGCATCTGAAAATCAAACATTAAATATTGATAAGATACGAATACGAAAATTGTCTCTTTTAAAAACAATTATGATTACTACTTCTGTATTGTACTTAACTACAAACGTTGTCAGAATTTACTTCAATTTAGTAGGTACTTACCTATGAATAATTCAAATACTCGTCAATTTTATTAGCCAATTTTATAAATTAAGTAAACACATTTCATAGTAAGCGGAACTGTGACTGTCTCATCTCCATAAGGTTACTCATTCACACCAAAAAGATAAATGACTAACTCATTGATTAACTAAAAGATACTGATTCACTCACTAATCAACAATCCCCACAATCGTTGTTCTACAGTAAGTAACCCATATTGATTCTGTAGTTCTACGAAGTACCTACCTAACTACCAAAAAATATGTAACTTAAAAATATTGAGACTGGCCACCTGGCGTTCAACAGTGGCCAAGGACTTAAACTTATTGCCCGTTTTCACCATCAATCCCTAATTTATAAGTGACCCCTATGTAAACAAAATTCCTGTTATGTCACATACATAGGGGTCATTTAAAAATTAGTGATTGGTGGTGTAAACGGGCATTAGAGACACAAATATTTCGACAACCCAAGACAGACAGCCGGCTGATCCATTTTGAAACCTAGAAGTGCAGCGGAGTAAATTTTACAGCTGTCCTGGCGCTTCAAAACAAGGAGAGCAGACCCTAAACAATGGGAAAAAGGCCAGGGAAAAGAATAAATCTGAGACTCACCAATCACCACCACTTCTAAAACTTCAAAACTACAAACAACTAACACGTCTACTGAATGTGTAACACGAACCAAACTAAGAATTTGTCCTGTTCAGGATCGAAATAGCCGTGGCCTCATCCTTATGATAACTTGGAATAATACGCTAAATAGTTTTCCTTTACGGAAAATATTGACAGATTGGTCGGTTCATGTAAACAGACAGATATAATGTATTTTATTTCGGTTCATTATTAATACTCGAATGCACGTGATTTTTTGACTCAAGGCTGAGCAATTAATGTAATTATATTTAATATATTTATACATTGTTGTCACATTATATCGTGAGACTTTATATGCCACCAAAGGGTCTGACATGTCTCGTACTGACGAGAACTTAGATCCCTTCCAGCTTCCAGGTATTTTATACACAATAATATAAATTAAAAGTGTTAAAGTATAAAAGTTTACGGTCTTTATCACATTATCCATGACCGATCCCACTCCATCCGCTACAATCTACATTTTACCTACATACATACAGTTAATGTTATTATAGTAATCAGTACCTACATTGAAATTTCAACTAGATAATATAACTTAAGTACTGCAATTTCTTTGGATCCAAATTAAATTATGGCTATAAATCTGAACGGTATTTTAAAGAGAATATTAAGACGCAAGGGTACATACATATTTTCGGAGCGTATTGCTCAGGGAGGACTCACAGGTTAACTGGTAGAGAATGCCTTACGGTGAACATAAAGGGTAATACAGAATAAAATCACATAAATAGAAGAATAAATATGTTTATTTCGCTATAAAGAAAAATAGTTTAATCTCTATCAGTTTAGTGCTGGAAGTTTACATTTAACCACTACACTTCACAGTGTAACCTCGCTAACCTTACCCTAATCTAAAGCGTCGAGTTTGTATCAGAAGTGTACTTAGCCATTTCTCTATTTAGTAAAGTTATCAAGGGCTGCGTTTGGCAGAAAATAGCACTTGTTAGAAATTGTTAGCAAAATGGCGATTGCCATGGCATGCTGCATGCAGCTTTAGCATGTTTTCGGCTAGGACGCGTTTGCTGAACTTCAAAAGTGACGTTTTCTCATACATTTATTTGACAGTGACAGCACTTACCGCAAAAAGGACTCCATTTTACTTAGGTACTAGCGCTTTTTTCCGCCAAGCTTACAAAAAGTTGAGAAAAGAGTGAAAAGATGGTTAGGTATATGAAAGAAGCAAATTGAGAAAAAAATAAACGAAAACTATAACAAATAAACAAGAAAAAGTAACATTAAAAAGCATGAACTTAAGCCAATAAAGAAGAAATTCTAAATAACTTATAAATTATTTAACCAATGAAAGTGATTTATTAATTTAAGTGTCTTTAACTCTACCTACTTTATCTTACTGTATAAAGATATTAATTTTATACTCTTATCTATGCGTTTAAGTTTAACTGAGTAACTTGTCCGGTCGTACGAACTGTCTCTTTTGATAAATGACCATAATTTATTATGCTTATGTATCTTAAAAGAAAATTTGTTGCAATAATATAAATGAAAGTTAACTGTACATATTCCTGAGCAGCGAGAACGAAACATTATTAAATATTCAATGTAATTATTGAGTTAATAAGTACCTATTATTGTAGTCTGTGCACCAATCATCAACAGCAGAATTATTGCACTATTTTTAGGTTACAACAAATTAATAAGCATAATAATAATTAAGCATTAACGGGACTATTCCCACCACTGCCACTCCTGTATACCCAGGATCTTCAGTTTGGCCTAGAATAAAACCCAATCAGTGAAGAATGAGTAGTCCGGGGATAGATCAAGAATACTTCTCGACATTGTACTGTTTGTGACAATAATTAATCATTATCCGATTTCTCGGTTTAAGAAATTACTTAAAATACATCCTTATTTTATAAGCAACCAAATTAAGATTTTGTAAGTTTCTCTCTAGTTTCATGAATTTTTATTAAGTGTGTGGAGGTTTCATCGATTTAATTTTCTTCTCGCTAAAATCGCACTACTGCATTTGAAATTAAGGTGTTTTAATTCTAGATGTTATTGAATTACTAACTAATTAAAGTTAACTATGACATTGACCATCACAGCGTCACTTTGATGACGATAATTCTAATTTTAGCTCTATCGCCGAATCCTACAATGACGTAAATAAAGACTCCGCCATTTCCCGTTCGATGACCATTAGGTATTGACCATGATTAATAAATTAGTATCTTGAAATAACAATTTTTCATCAATAAAACCATCTAATCTACCTACGTCTCTCATCTCTTTCTAAAAAATACCTCTATGTATGCGTATAGCCTAAAGTTCTAAACCTTATTGGTTTACGAAGCGTCGCAACTCAATATTTAGTTATTATATTTTTTTTTACAATCAGACGTAATTTTTCTCACAACCATAACTGACAAAGCTGTTAATGTTTTTAACGAAAAACCCGAAGCGAGTGGCACATCGTGTAACAGTTACACTGCAAAAGTAAGCTCTTTTTTCAAAAGGATAAAGGTGGTCCGTGGTCTCTTCGTCGATGTGTCACGTCTTATGTGCCTTTAGCCTATGCGCAGACCATCGATTTTTTGTCGGCCGATAGTTTAGTCGGGCAGTTGATCAGTATGGGCGTGTATGGAAGTGCGCACATTACACCGATTTGATTTGGCCGATTCTTCATACAATTTTTAATATCGGGCACAACTATCGGCCAACGGCTTAGATGTAAATTATTGTTGTTGATGTCATTTATACGCCATTCTGAATAACAGAGCCTTAACTTAGGTCGTTTCTAACTTTATAAATAAAGGTTACAATAATGACACACGGTTCTATATTGGCTCACATAAAATTCTAAATCCTATTTTTTGTCTTACTACCGATTTGTGTTCATAATAATCTCTCTTCATAATTTTGTTTTTCATACTTTTTTTATTCATACATTTTTATTACTACCATCGGAGCTCATAACAGTTAGTAATCATAATTTTTTTATCAATACTGTTACTACCAAGAACCATTTAAAATACATAATTTTTATTTTCAGATCTTTTTTCTTCATAACATTCATTGATCATATTGTTTTAATTAATAATGTTGTTACTAAGAACATACTTCAACTCATAATGTTGTTGTTCAGAATAATTTACTTTATAACAGACATACTCGTATCTTTAAAAAATCATGTATAATTTAATAGAGTAGATAAGCATGCAGAGCATGCAGCATGAAAGCAAGCATGCAGCATGCATTGGTATCTCCTCGTCTCCGGCGCTGCGGGATGTGCAGCCCTTCCGCCCTTGCGTAACGAGGCTCAGGCACCCACGCTTGCTTCCGCAGCTTCGGCTTTTTGGATCGCCATCGGCGCCTTCGGCGCCTCGGCGACCAGCCTCAGCCGCTCCAGCTCACCCGGGCGCCTGAGCCTCGTTACAGCGGGCGAGGGCTGCCCTCCCTCCGCGCCTCCGGCTTTTAAATTACACTCTAGGGGTAGGGCAGACAAGACTACGTGGAGTCGGTTTTGCAGCGATTCGTTTCTGTCACGTTAGTTTTGTGGCACAAAATATTGCCTGTTTTGGACCATTTCAAATTAATTTAATGTTAAAATACGATTTAATACGAATATAGACATCATGATTTTCAATAATATGGATAAATACACTTATGAGTAATAAATTTATGAAAACAAATATTAGGATACATCACATTTATGAATATTATAGTTATTAATTCGAATGATTATGAGTTTCGATCATTAGTACAGAAAAATATATGAAAACAAATATTAGTAAAAACTAAGTGTATGATTAGTGATATTATGAATATCAATGATTATGTTTTTAAATGTGTAGGTTTTAAATTTTTTATGAAGAATGATCATTATGGTATCAAATTGTATGAGAAATATTTTCGGACCTCCAATGATAGGAATTGAAAAGTTATGTAAGAAAATGCGCTACCATGACACACGCTATGCAATTTTTTCCTAATACGTACTGAATACTAGCTGATAAGTTACACCGCAAAGCTAAATAGTTCCTACACAACCATTAAGCATGTTCTAACTTTAGTGCGAAAAGATGGTGGATCTTCAAACGTTTTAAAGAAAGAACGTTTATTTGGTACACAATACATTGCAATTATAATTATGTATGTGTATTAAATTTAGCTGTGACTTTGCCTTAGGTAGGTAAGGCTGTTCAAAACCAGCGAATGCGTCCAAGCGCAAATGTCATCATATTTTGTTTATATTGTAATACAATGAATATCGTTATTATAAATAAGGAAATATTAACCAATTTTGTGCCTAGCATTATATTGAATGAGGAACATCACTTTGATGTGTCAACACAGTGCCACCTTGTGTAGTTGACGTAGGGGCGTTTTTGCCACAACAATGTGTGATCTGATGTGCTCCAACTACGTAACTTCTACCTAACTATCGAGTATTCAGTGAAGCTATGTGAGAAAACCTGTAGTTTACGTACTAGTTTTGTTTATTCGACGGTTTATTCTAGAAACTTTACAGTAATTCGCTACACGTTTAGGCCAAGTGGAAACTTGCTCATTGTATAGTTTATGCTTAAAGTTACTTAATTTACAACAAAAAACCGCAACTAAAACTCAAATTAAATAAAAATCGTTTATTAGAATAAATAAGGCTTAAAATAACCAACAAAAAGGTAAAATTTGTAAAAAAAATCCAAAAAGCACATGATTTAGTAAATTTAGATTAGCAACCAATAGTTATTTACAATTACACCGTAATATTACATTATTAATGCGACTGTACTTAGACTTACATATTATTTATTTCATGTTCACTCATACGCACATACAAAAATATATTTTAGTTGCCTAAACTTTTCAGAAATGTCATGAAAAAGAGCTTAGCCTTTTTTATAGAGCAGTACAAGGTTGGTCACTAAGTTTAAAAAGAAATGAATCAATTTTAATAATATTTAGAACTGTTCTTACAATATTTAGAGGCGTTGTATTTTTACTTGTCGTTTTTCACGACATTCCTTTAATTGCCAATGCTACAAAGTTATCCGACTTCAAAAATAGCTACCTATATGTAGGACTAAATTCCAGATAAGTATAGTCACTAAACTAAGCTTAAACTAGTTTTACAACAGAAAAATGGCTACGACACTACCTTTATCACATAGATGCTGATTATAGAGGTCAATAGTAAAATATAGTATGTTAAATACATTTAGTATTTTATAAATAAAACCATATTTGTTTAAATACATTAACACTAGTCTAAAAAAGGTTTATTAGCTTGCACCTTTCACAAATAACGGATACACTTCTTTATAGATTTTAAATAAATGGCTGTTTTTAACCGATTGCGCGACGCAAAGCAGTGGTAATGTGTTAAATTTATACCGTCCAACACTTTTTTCTAAAGCTTATAAATACTGTTTTAGCTGCACCAGTTCTTGATTCATAATGATTAAGTTAATTCGAAAGAACTTAAAATTTGTGGTTATGATTTTACTTTTTTAGCTGCACCAGTTTTTGTTTTATAATAATTAAAATAAAATAAGGTGATTCGAAAGTAATTAATTAAAATTGTGGTTATAGTTTTGGTAAGAAATAAAGTTAACATGTTAAGTGACGCTTCAGAATTTAAGTATAAGACCACTAGAATACCGAGTCGCGAGTTAAAGCTGCTATAAATGAACACAATCCATACATAAAGCATATCCGTTATTATATCACACACCTTACAACGTCATTACTTACAACTATAAGGCTGTGGTCTCCTATAAACGCAGTATGTAGTTTACGTACAACGTAACGCTCTATGCTTACTATACAAATGTACTGTTGCGAACTCTTTCAGACATTGACATCGACGTATGAACGTCGAAAGGAACGTTCGGGACCGGATTTAGGCAGTAATCATGAGGAAACGTTTTTGACTTCCATTGCTCAATAATTACATGGTTTTGACATTTCGGTGAGTTTTTATTGTAATCTTGTTTATGGTTCATTCAAAAAATTTAAAAAAGAAATAAACGCGGTAAACTCTGTCGGCAGTAGAGATGTGTAACTCCGGAGTGAAAAAAAGATGTGTATCCGTACCTACCAAAGAGTACAATTGACCATTTTATATGGAAAATATTTTGGGGCCAGGGGCCTTTACTCCTTTGTTGTCCCGAGGCTTCCATAAAAAAAACTAATTTTATTTTAGCAATACATACTCTTTTAAAAAGCACTTTTACACGTCCCAATATTAACCCTACCACTGTTTCGGGACAGTAAATGGGCCAGTGCTGAAAAGAGGCAGCGCAAGAAACTCGTTCACTATTGTCAGCCTTCTAAATCCGGCACTGGGAACGTTTGGCGCTGACGTCGTACGCCACGTATAGCGTTTATTGGAGACCGTAGCCTTAGATAATTTTCCGCCTAAATGTGTACTTCTAATACAAATCGTTAGGACACTCATATCACCGCTGGTTATCGTAAAGCACTACAATGGCACTTCCATTCTTAAATCACACTTTTTACACTTCCTAACTTAAAATTTTGGTTAAAAAATTTCGTTGTCAAATAAAAAACATCTAAATGTAAAATATTAATGTTATAGCCTGACCAGGAACATAAAAACCCTCGCCATGTTGCGGAAAACTAATGGTACTAATTTCTTTTAATGGCAACAGTAACTGAAAACTTCATTGACATGTCACCTTGCATGTCAGTCTATTGCTGTCAAAGTGTAAACAAACTTTATTTTAAATGTGCGCAATTGGTTTTATGAATTAAATTGCTAAAATATTTTTATAGTCGTGAAAGAAAAGTGGTTCACAATGTGTTAAAGTATTTGTCGAAGAGAAATACTAAGGGTTCGGACAATATTTTCATTGAATAATGTTTCCGACAAAGGTTGTCAAATTGACTGACATGTTTATCGTATAGTACAGTCAGTCCACTATGAAAATTAGCTGTGGTTTGTTTCAACTACCTATTTTAAAAATTTTACACTTTCTAAGTATTGAATTTTATGGGATTGGGAAAGAAGTACCGAGTTTGAAGCCTTCATGAGCAGACATTGCAGTTGAATATTCAAGTTCTGAATTTGATTATTGATGTATAATAAAATAAATCTACTAGCTCGATTGATGGTTTCATTTAGCCAGGGTTTCAATACAAAATGTTACAGTGTATTACATCAATAAAAATATTCTTATTCTTATTCTTATTTAATTTATTTAAATCAGGTTACCTATAATAATATTTTTTCGTTAATTTATGAAAATATCAAATTAGCCCGTAATCCTGAATCCTGATACATAAAGTTAGCCTATTAATTTAACACAGGTACGACTGTACTCAGTGTTGCACTATCAAATGCAATTGACGCGCCTCTATGCCAGGGTTTTTATGTTCCTGGTCAGGCTATACAACTTAATTAAATGAAAATTACGTACATAAATACCAACTTTTTTCAAATATATTTGACTTTATATATTTTAACTGAAAACACTGAATATGCATATCAATATAAGAAGAAAATAATGTTGATTACATATTTTGTAACATAACAATATACTATTGCACTTACAACTGTTAGAATAATTTTAAAATTAAATAACTAAATTAGTGAGACAATAATTAAATGAAATTAATATAATTAATTATTACTTATGATTAAGATAGACTTATAAACTCGTAAACTAAAGAGAAAAAAGTTACCGCAACAGTTAAGAAAAGTATTTTAAATAAAACATAATTAATCCTATAAATTAATTACATAATGGCCGTTTTTATTATGGTGGTATAAACACGGCAAGAAGCTATAGTAAAATTAATGGCAGATTGCTTTGCCAAAGAGTTGTGGTGTTAAGATAAAGAAATATCCTCTAAAATACATCAGATGCTATCTGTTGGAAGACTGCTGACACCAGAAAATATGTATCATATTTTTTAATCAGAAATGGATGTTATTTGCCGATACCTGCTAATATTGTTGATGTGATCGTTCGTAAAGCAAGAACAGAATGAACCACACGAAGTTATTTTTGTTTTTTCACTTCTAAGATGAGAGGTGACTAATTGAATAGGGTCTGTGTAAGTTATAGATTGATGGTCACAACAGCAGCTAGGTGTGATCTGCTGTGCTGTTGCTGCATGTATATCGGTCAATGGCGGTCAAGTACTGGGACCCGATTGCGCTAATTTGTAATGTATCCAATTCATTCAATTCATCTCCAGTCTACACTTCATTTTCATTCCAGCTGAAGTGCAATTTGGTATCACGGTAAAGTTAACGCGCTAACATAGACGAAACAACAGACTCAGCACTTTCCATTAAAAGTCCGAACACCTTATTTTTGAAACTAAGATACTAAAACAGCGAAAGTTCGTGAAGCGTTTGAATTGCGTGTGAGAAAGCTAAGAAGTAGCTATCTGTCATCTTTTACTCCAGAGGCGCAGTTGCGTTCCGTTTACTTTACAAGATCGTTTGAACTAGCTGTCAAAACGACACCGCGATACGGATTTGTCAAAGCAGTTGATGTTTGCTCATTATCCAGTTGCGTTGCAGTTGAAAATTTTTAGCGCAATCGGGGCCTGATCTGCTGTGCAAGGTCGTTGCTGCATTTATATCGGTCAGTGGCGGTCAAGTACTGTTCCTGAAGGCCTGCTACTCGAGTGCTCAGCGTGGCACCAGGGAGGCAATTTAGCATTAGTCCTGCAAGTTCGGGTTGCTGTTAAATTTTCTCGGTGGTGGTCGCGTGGCGTGGCTTTTCTGCAGTGATGACGGTGGTTGCGTGGTTTCCTCAGACCTGGTACCACTGCTGCAGTGTTGATGGTGGTTGCATGGTGTCCTCAGACCTGGTACCACTGCTGCAGTGATGATGGTGGTTGCATGGTGTCCTCAGACCTGGTACCAGGGCGAGCGACGCACCCATCGCAGACGGTAACCGCCCTGTTCCGTGCGAATCTTGATAGACGCACCTTCGGCAGCTTTCACTGTCTCTTTCACCTGCATGGATGGCATATTTTAATAAAGTCATGTTGCTGTGTGTGCAAGTTACAAAACGTGACAGATGTAATGCCTAAAGCTTCGCTCCGGTGTTACATCGCTGTGAGGAGTTAGTTCACTCTGTGAAGTGTTTTCAAAAAATAGTCACGATTTGTAACTTCTCCAAGAGGGCACTATATCGAACAATGGATTTCAGATGAAGCCTCATTTGAAATTGGTTATTCGATTTTTTTTTCTCTCAATAGTCCACTCAAAAAGTGACCAAAAAGGGGTGCAGAGTGAGTGAGCTGGTACCTAAGCAATTTCTTCAGAATTTGGTTCAGGATGCTTAAGGAGTAAACATACTAAAAGTCCCCGCCCCGTCACTCACGCACTCTACAACTGCTTTTTTGAGTGGACTACGATGAGGGTTTTCGCGAATGAAAGATCCGCTAGATGTCGGGACGTGGATGTGGGGTCTGACTGCTGCGTGATTGGTGGATTTTGACATATCTGTCAATGTCATGTCAAAAATAACCAATCATGCAGCATTTGGACCTCCCGTCTACGTATTGCCATCTGGCGGATTTTTCAATCGCGAAAACCCTCATTAAATAAAAATTTCGATTCTCATCCCCTCATTTTTCTACTATTTTTTTAAAGAATCATTAACCCTTCCAGTTACACAAAATAATATATTCTTGTTTTAGGAGTGGATTCACCACAATAGTCCAGCAGCAATTTGGTTCAACTACCCTCATCCTCAATCGGCAATTCTACACCGACACCGCTGGCTATTGTGGCCTGAATATATCTCATCTGTGAATAAATTTAAATAAACTGTACTCACGCTCTGCATCAAGTTCTGTGCGTTCCCGACGAGCATTTCCGTCGCCTCCTGGTCCTCTTCGCTACCTGGATATGACAAAACAATATAAATATTTACTAACTACGACGAACTACCCATCACCTTTTTATCCAACACCAAAGGACATGCAGATGCAACATCCATCACCAATATTCATAGAATTTTCTAGACATAAATCTAAGTTTGCGGTATAGTCAGCATCAAATAGCTCGTGACACCCAAAATGGCCAAAAAGTTCGCAACACGTTCGTCTTTGTTACAATGAGGGCAATCGTTTTAGCGCTCACCAGTTAGCGTCACTGTAGAGTAAGGTCCTGTCAATCGCCAGGGGTGCCAACTGTTAAGTATAAAAACGATAGCCCTCATTGGAATAAGGTTGTGTTGTGTTGTCAACTTTTTGACCACTTTGGGTGTCACGAAGTATTTGACGCTGACTTTACAGAGAGCTTTAAAGAGATGTCGCTTGTAAAATCGATAATTCTATCGATATGCTATCTAATTTGACAGATTTTCTTTCAGCATCTTTAAATCTACTTCCATTGAGACATGCAATTTTCTCCATTTTAATTACTAAAAATGTCTACAAATAAGCTGCCGTTTTCAAGACCATATCAAGCAACAGCTTGATGCGATAAATGATAAAATACTTACAATATTAAAGATCTTGTCACAAACCCGATTTTAAGACTTTTGTGAACGATATAAATGGCAGTAAAACATTATTTTCGAAATACGTTTCGTTATTATGTCTCATATTTATAGTTGACATAAGCACTATTTAGGAAAGAAAACATTAGAAAGCGCAAAGAAACATAACTGTTCACGAAAAAACCACCTTGTCGTTTAAGAAAACGAAAAAGCATTAAAATTGCAAGCAAGAAATAAAAAAAATCGCATATAAACATACAAAACGCACACACAATAATATGTATAATGGTAAATTTTGGTTACTTTAGTGGATGCACATAAAAGGTTCCTGTAAAACGTTGAAACGTATCATCACAAACAGTAATTATTTGTAAATGCTTCACGATGCTTTTACTAAACATTCGCCACTTTCATTCATGTGTTTAGTGAACAAACGCTTCACAGTGTAAAGATAAGAATTGCTTTTTAATCTTACCCCTGTATTCATAAAAAAATACAAACGTTTTCTGAACCTATTTTAGTTAATATATTTTGTCTTGTTCATGTCAATGTCAATGTGAAAAGAATGACGGGGACAAAACATACATTTTTATGAATTTGGGGGTAAGCCTTCACAAAAAGTGCGACGTGCATCGTGCAATATCGCCATGCATGTAGACAGCTTTAAATACCTCTGTAGTCCGGCATGCCGACTGCGTGTTAGCCAAGCGGACATGTTTAGTGATCAAATGTTAATCGCCAATCGAAATCGTACTCCCAAGTATACTACTGGACAAGCTGATAAAAATGTATGTGCCAAATCTTGGTATTACTTCAATAAAAGACATTTCGTTTCATACAACGTGTCACAGATTTTAATTCTAACTAAAAAACTTTAAATAATGTAAACGAAATGCGCACGTAAATAATTTAAACATCTTAAAGGTCTTCAAATCAGGTCTAAACAATATCAATATCTCATTTCGAGTCTTGCGGCACATTTGCTGTCAGTTACTCGCGACGACTTAATGATTTGTTGTTGATGCATATCAACATTAGATGAGCAATATTTTAATTCAGTGCAGCTTGTCTAGTAGTACATAGAAGTCTTTGTAGTAAAAATAGCTTTATTAAACCAACTGGCACGAATTGATCGAAGTATGATATCGAAATGCTATTAATCCTGTACTGAATAGTATCATACAAACAACTTTTAAATTAATCTATTCGTGCAAGCTTGTTTGATAACCATATTATTTGCATTAAGTAAGAAAAATGTTGTAATTAGTTATTAAATAAAGTGCCTTAAAGATATTATCAAAGCGTGTCAGTATTTAGTAAATGTATTAGAAAAATTGGTAACTGTTTTAAATTAATTCACCATAAATATTTGTATAGAGCTTACAGCGTTACAAAATACCAATTAAACATTTTTATTAGCATTGCATAAGGCAAAAAGGTTAAAGGTCGTAGGATTAATAACACCTGGATGTGGTCTTTGTCCAGCAGTGGATGGCATTTGGTTGAAATAAAGGCAATCTCCAAAATTATCATCATCATCATCACTATCTCGTATTGAGGCGTCACTTGACAAGACACCCTGAAAATCGTGGCCTTCGTGGTCACAGCATATTATGCTGCCACGTTTCAGTGGGCATCGCTATTGCCAGAAGATGGCACTAATCAAGTGCTCAGTTCACTCTTGGTATCTTTCTTTTTGATATTATCTATGTGCCATTGGCTTTTTTGTGATGTCCATCGTAATAATGTTTCTTTCTGCCAACTGGCCTTTGTGGAAGTCATTAGAGGAGGCCTATGTTCAGCAGTGGACGTCCTGTGGCTGAGATGATGATGATGATGATGATGAAAGGTGAACAAACTGAGGATCTTACCTTGCGCGCCCAGCATGGTGGCTTTGACGGTGGATAGGATCTTGAGCTGCGTGCCGATGGTCGGGATCCTCTCGCATACTTGCAGCAGGTTCTGGAAAATACAATAATTGCAATATGTATTAATAACAGCTTTAGTAAACAATAATTTTATAGTATTTTCCGATAATGTACCAATCCCACTCTTTCCGTGGATGTCACAAGGCGCGACTGAGGAAGAAATATGCGAACATCACGCTTGCCCAACTTGTCTGGCCAGCACAGGAATGTAAACCTTCATTTGCCTCTGGTAAATTAGAGGTTTGACCTCCTGCAGTGGAAACTAAGACATCCCGTAGAGAAACCTAGACTTTTTATCCAACCAAACAATCGGTCGACTAAAGTGTGTACCTCTAGCATGAACAACTTTCGTCTTCGAATCGTTTTTGTATTCGACAAAATTCAATACTTAACTTTCGAATTAAACCATAATAACGTGACAATTTTGATTGTCAAAATAAGTTTCGTGCAACCATTTCTCATACTATGTTCACTTTACGACACGTTCACAAGGGCGCTGTTTTAGTTTTCGTACTAAATCTTTTGATGGCGATTAGAATACGCAAACGATTCGAAGTCGAAAGTTTTTCGTGCTAGAGGTACTGTAGTCTGCGAGGAGTGTAAATGACTCCTCCCATGAATGATGATGATGATCCCTCACTCACCGTCCGGATCCTCTTATCGGTGCACTCGAGGGCCAGTTTCTTAGCGAGGCGGGTGACCTCTTCAGAAGCCTCGGCGATCGCCTTGGCCGTCGCGATCAGCTCACGCTTGCTACCTGTTATGTGATATGAACAACGGTTTAACAGCTGTTAAAATTGACCTACCTGTTGTGACATGAATAATGGTTTAGCAGCTGTTAAAATTTACCTACGTATGGGACTAGAAGTCAGGTGAGAATGCGGCGTCAAATCACACTGGGGGCCATTTTGTGCATCAATTTTTTCTTTCATGAACGTTTGTGATTGGGACCACAGCACAGCGAAATGACGCTGTGACATCTTATTTACTTTAATTGGAATGACTACTAGACACAATCAAGTTTAATCTTCTAACTATCAACACAAGTGAATTTGTAAGATAATAATATCATTATGTGTCAAGTTCTCAGCACTGGCCCATTTATAGTCCTGAAGCAGTGGTAGGGTTAATACTGGGACGTGTAAAAGTGCTTTTTTTAAGCCTATTTACAGAAATAAATGAGTTTTATGAGTTTTTTATGAGTTTTTATGAATTCAACGGTATCCCTTGTTTAAATTTCCAAAATTACACAGCATCATCATTATCAATCATCTTTTGGACAGGCCTCCTCCAACTCCAGTCAGATTGCTATTACGACCGAATCTTAAAACGATATAACTTAGTAGCAACATTACACTTTTCTGGTTGTAATTTAAAATTGTATAATGTAAATTTTGAATTAGGTATTTAAAAACATAATATTTTAATAAAGCCAATAGATAAGAAGATAGAAATGAATAAACACATAAATGAAAAGTAAATAATTGGTCCATTGAAGGCACTTACCGCTCAGATTCATAGCGACCTCTAGCGTCCGACAGAAAGCAATGAACAGATATACACAGTGATAGCATAGTTATATACAGTTTGCGCCGAATAACATTACGGAGATTATATTTAAATGTTACTAATAGGAATGCGAATACCTCTTGACGAATATTCGCATTTCTGTTTTTAGGTTTGATAAGTAGCAGCGTGTAAACTACCGAATGGTATTCGAAGCAATTTTTAAATGTGCAAAGATGATTGTGTGTGACACAGTTTTTACAAAGCAGTAATAAGTATACATTGAGTTTATTTTATAAATTCAATTTAATAATTTCAAACAAAATAAATAATAGCAGCGTAGTGGAAATAGCGTCATATAACGATGTAAATATTGTTTTTACACATAATAGTAGCATTAATATTCATGTGTAAACAATACATAGTATAAAGAGCTAATAGCAGGATTGAATGGCTACATAGCCAAAATTGTTACCTGACACCTTTTTTCCTGTTTTTTACAGTCTACAACTAGAAAGGAATGACCATCGACAAGAATGTTGTTACCATAGACATATGACTATGAGCTGCGATGCTCTCGTTGTCTCTGGCCGCTATAGTCTGGTCTGCGAGCACGTAGAATTTTGTCCAATGACCCCAAGCTACCCATCCTTATCGCTCGCGCGTAATTATATTGCTGTCGCGTCTGCAACGCGCGCCCGCAGTGAGTGTGCGAGCGCGACAGCAACATAATTACGCGCGAAGGATGGGTAGCTTGGGGTCATTGGCCAAAATTCTACGTGCTCACAGACCAGGCTTTATCAACCATAGACTAGCGTTACCTTTAGAGTCGGAGCGGACCAGCTCTGACAGACGAGCCATAAGGATGGCCATGCGCTTGGCTGCTGCGATGATCTCGTTGTCTTTGGATGACCATTCGCGCACTGCCTTGTGTAAGTTGTGAGCCGCCACCTGGAAAACACGTGTTTGTGACGTTAGCTCTTATCACAGACTAGAGAGAAATTATCCGCCTCTGTGGTCTAGTGGTAAGATCACCTGCTTCAGACGCAGAGGTCCCGGGTTCGATTCCCAGTGGGGGCAGATTTTTCTGTTCATTTTGGTTGGTGGTAGTAGGGCTTGTTCCAAGTCCGCCTGGCTAGCTACCACCATCTTACCTAAGTCTGTCGCCATTACAACAATGTTAACAGCATTGTTGTGTTCCGGCAGTTAGAGGTAAGATAGCCAGTTCCTCCGTGGTTGAGGATTCCGGGTGAAGCTCGCTTCCACCTTTGGCCTGATCGTCACTCACCATCAGGTGAGATACAGGCCAAGAGCTTCCTCGTTGTGGATAAAAAAAACTCACCAGTATAGGCTGGCTAGGGTGCGGCTGCCTGCTGAATATGTCTTCTCCTTCATCGTCGGTATCCGTCGGCGGCGATGGTCTCACGTGGTTCTCTTGTAATGCTAGCGGTAACGTAAGGTGACTCACCAGTATAGGCTGGCTTGGATGCCAGTTCCTTCGTGGTTAAGGATTCCGGATGAAGCTCGCTTCCACCTTCGGCCTGATCAGCTTCCTCGTTGTGGATAAAAAGAACTCACCAGTATAGGCTGGCTTGGGTGCGGCTGTCTGCTGAATATATCTTCTCCCTCATCGTCGGTATCCGGCGGTGGCGGTCAAATGGAGCTGTAATGTAAGATAGGGCCAGCGGTAACGTAAGGTGACTCACCAGTATAGGTTGGCTTGGATGCGGCTGTCTGCTGAATATATCTTCTCCCTCGTCGTCGGTATCCGGCGGTGGCGGTCAAATGGAGCTGTAATGTAAGATAGGGCCAGCGGTAATGTAAGATGACTCACCAGTATAGGCTGGCTTGGATGCGGCTGTCTGCTGAATATGTCCTCTCGTTTATCGTCGGTATCCGTCAGCGGCTGTGGTCTCACGTGGTTCTCTTGTAATGCTAGTGGTAACGTTAGGTGACTCACCAGTATAGGCTGGCTTGGATGCCAGTTCCTCCGTGAATGAGGATTCCGGATGAAGCTGGCTTCCACCTTCGGCCTGATCATCACTTACAAGAGCTTGCTCGTTGTGGATAAAAAAAAACTCACCAGTATAGGCTGGCTTGGATGCGGCTGCCTGCTGAATATGTCTTCTCCTTCATCATCAGTATAAGGCGGCGGCGGTCGGCGGCGGTGGTCTCACGTGGTTCTCTTGTGATGCTAGCGGTAGCGTAAGGTGACTCACCAGTATAGGCTGGCTAGGGTGCGGCTGCCTGCTGAATATATCCTCTCCCTCGTCATCAGTATCCGGCGGCGGCGGTCAAATGGAGCTGTAATGTAAGATAGGGCCAGCGGTAATGTAAGATGGCTCACCAGTATAGGCTGGCTTGGATGCGGCTGCCTGCTGAATATGTCTTCTCCTTCATCATCAGTATAAGGCGGCGGCGGTCGGCGGCGGTGGTCTCACGTGGTTCTCTTGTGATGCTAGCGGTAGCGTAAGGTGACTCACCAGTATAGGCTGGCTAGGGTGCGGCTGCCTGCTGAATATATCCTCTCCCTCGTCATCAGTATCCGGCGGCGGCGGTCAAATGGAGCTGTAATGTAAGATAGGGCCAGCGGTAATGTAAGATGGCTCACCAGTATAGGCTGGCTTGGATGCGGCTGCCTGCTGAATATGTCTTCTCCTTCATCATCGGTATCCGGCGGCGGCGGACGCGGCGGCGCGCTCACGTGTAATTGTTGTAGGGCCAGCAGTGGAGCTGTTGTAGGGCCAGCAGTAATGGAGCTGTTGTTGGGCCAGCAGTAATGTAAGGTGACTCACCAGTATAGGCTGGCTTGGATGCGGCTGCCTGCTGAATATGTCCTCTCCTTCATCATCAGTATCCGGCGGCGGCGGTCGCGGCGGCGGCGCGGCGGCGGTCGGCGGCGGCGGGCGCGGCGGCAGTCACGTGGAGCTATTTTAATGCTAGTGGTAACGAAAGAAGACTCACCAGTATAGGCTGGCTAGAATGCGGCTGCCTGCTGAATATGTCTTCTCCTTCATCATCAGTGTCCGGCGGCGGTCACATGGAGCTATTTTAATGCTAGTGGTAACGAAAGAAGACTCACCAATATAGGCTGGCTAGGGTGTGGCTGCCTGCTGAATATATCCTCTCCTTCATCATCAGTATCCGGCGGCGGCGGTCGCGGCGGCGGCGCGGCGGCGGTCGGCGGCGGCGGGCGCGGTGGCGCCGATACATGTAGCTGTTGTAAGGCGACGGGTAACGCCGGCGGCGGCGGCGGCGGCGCGTAGTGGCGGCCTAATGCTGATTCTACTTCGCCAGCCGCGTTTATTATCTGGAGATAAATGAGTGGCTGTTAAAAATTTGGCCTTGATAGCTATTTATTTGTACTAACTTAAGGTAACAACATAGAGGAGCTTTAAAACTGGTAATACGTTAGGGTATGAACATTATATGTAGTACAGTCAGCATCAAATAGTTCGTGACACCCAAAGTGGTCAAAAAGTTCCCAATAAAAAGGGCCAATGGTTCTGTTGTCAACTTTTTGGCCACGTTGGGTGTCACGAACTATGCATTTGACGCTGACGGTACATTACGGTGAAGATAATGCGATATGAAAGCTGCATTTTATAGCTGAAAATGAACTGCGAAGGTATAAATCTGTACAGAATAGACTGTGACGTGGCTTGAGACCCAAGACAGAGAAGGCCCTTGACTACTCTTAAAAAAAATTAACAGTAATCTGTGAATATTAGCAGTTGTACTGTCGCTGAAAAGGAAGAATCTTTGAGAGAAAAGATGGATCTCATTGATTCTTAAATGTCTAGAGCCTCCAGTAGACTATAAGCAGGTGTAGCGAATGACATCAGCGTAGTGCACGGCCTGCTACACGGTTTGCTGCTCTAACGCCAGGGAATAAGACCGGATTTGACTCGAGGTTGATTTCGAAGTTGAAGGCGCGCCAGTGGGGCGCCTGCCACGCGTCTCGCGGCTCTAGCAGGCAGTACCGGGCAGTAAGGCAGGGCACTCACCTGCCATGTAGCATGTAACGTAGCATGTAACGTAACCAACCTTCAAGTGAGTACCTACGGCTCGTCCATGGTCATCGCGTATCTGGCTGCGAGCTCCTGGGTCCTACTGCGAGCCGCCTTTGAAATTTGTTAATGCGAGTCATTTCTACTAGTATTTAAGTATCTTAATTTGTAAGTCTAGATATTAGCACGTTACTACCTTGTTTAATATGCCACGCAATTTTGTATACCCATTCTTATAAGATACATCATACAAGAATGCATGGTAAATTCAGTGAACTGCTCCTGAATCAAATGTACCTACTACTGCTTTTTCTATTTATTTATATTAACCGGCAGACAGTGGTGACTGAGTTTGTTGCGGCGCTTCTTCTCAGTTGCCAAATGTTGGTCTCGAAGCGCTGGTAGGGTAAAAAGATTATGAGACATGTAGAGGCTCCTTAAGAGCAAAATGACGATTTGTAAGAACTATTTATTAGTCTAAACAAATAAAGAAATTTTGACTTTGACTTTTGTGCTCGCAGTGATACCGCCACTCAGGTCGGTCTCCTTGCGAACCACGCGCGAGCAGCGAGCAGCGGGCTCGTGCCTATGTACTCACTTGATACAGTATCTGATACATTACATGCTGCACGGCTATAGTCAGGTCCGTGAGCACGTAGAATTTGGTCCAATGACCCCAAGCTACCCATCCTTATCGCTCGCGCGTAATTATGTTGCTGTCGCGCTCGCACACTCACTGCGGGTGCCAGTCGCACAGTCGCGACAGCAACATAATGAGGGTTTTCGCGTATAAAAGATCCGCTAGATGGTGGGACGTGGATGTGGGGTCTGACTGCTGCGTGATTGGTGGATTTTGACATATCTGTCAATGTCATGTCAAAAATAACCAGTCATGCAGCATTTGGACCTCGCGTGTACGTATTGCTATCTGGCGGATTTTTCATACGCGAAAACTTTTATTACGCGCGAGCGATAAGGATGGGTAGCTAGGGGTCATTGGACAAAATTCTACGTGCTCACGGACCGGGCTTTAGATGAGTACCCTGCTTAAGGGCGAGGGTCGCGGTTACCTGCGCGTGTCACGCGACTCGTGACTCTAGCGCCGGGCAGTAATGTCGGGAGTCGCGGCAGAGTAAATACAAATGAGTAGGTCATCTTCATAGAAACGCACCGAGCGCGGTTTGTATGTGAGCGCGCCAATACGTATGCGGCGCGCGCGCACACACTGACAAAATTTAGCGTGGATTAGTGGGGTGTTGCGCCGAATTTTGTCAGTGTGTGCGTGCGCGCCGTATACGTATATTGGCGCGCTCACATACAAANGAGCGCGGTTTGTATGTGAGCGCGCCAATACGTATGCGGCGCGCGCGCACACACTGACAAATTTAGCGTGGATTAGTGGGGTGTTGCGCCGAATTTTGTCAGTGTGTGCGTGCGCGCCGTATACGTATATTGGCGCGCTCACATACAAACCGCGCTCGGTGCGTTTCTATGAAGATGACCTACTCATTTGTATTTATTCTCGTCGCGGTTACCTGTGCGTTGGCGGCGCGCCATTGCGGCGCCTGCGTCTTGTCCCCGAGCGCGACGGCCTTGGCGCGGTGCACGGCGGGCGGGATGGCGGCCTGTAGGCGAGCGTGCGCCGTGGACAGCGCTCGCGCGAATTCCGAGTCTTCTGTGTTGTCGCGCTCGGTCCCGCCTACGAGCAGCACGCGGTTTGCTAGCCTGGAGCCAAGAAATAAGAAAGAATTTTTAGTTTTTTTGCATAGTGCTCTCAAAAAATGTTTATGTTTGCTGGATACAAAGTTCCACGTCGCCTACTAGCAGCACGCGGTTTGCTAGCCTGGAGCCAAGAAATAAGAAAGAATTTTTAGTTTTTTTGCATAGTGCTCTCAAAAAATGTTTATATTTGCTAGATACAAAGTTCCACACCGCCTACTAGCAGCACGCGGTTTGCTAGCCTGGAGCCAAGAAATAAGAAAGATTTTTTAGTTTTTTTGCATAGTGCTCTCAAAAAATGTTTATGTTTGCTGGATACAAAGTTCCACGTCGCCTACTAGCAGCACGCGGTTTGCTAGCCTGGAGCCAAGAAATAAGAAAGAATTTTTAGTTTTTTTGCATAGTGCTCTCAAAAAATGTTTATATTTGCTGGATACAAAGTTCCACACCGCCTACTAAGCAGCACGCGGTTTGCTAGCCTGGGAAACGGGAATAACAACGGTTTTGGCTGGCATTTTATTTGGCTAGATGATATTTTTCAGTACCTTTCATATACAAGGAATAAGTAGTTTGCTAGCCCTAGGGATGGATATAAAACGTTTTTCATTTGGTTGGATTTTTTAGTTTTTTGCATAGTGCTTTCAAGAAATGTTTTCACTTGTTCAGCTAGATACAAAGCTCTATACCGCCTACTAGGAGCTCGCGGTTTGCTAGCCTGGAGCCAAGAAATAAGGGTGCTTTCAAAAAATGTTTTTTTTGCCGAGCTAGATACAAAGCTATATACCGCCTACTACGAGCACGCGGTTTGCTAGCATAGAGCCAAGCAATAAGAAAGTCATAGTGCTATCAAGAAATGTTTTCATGTGTTCAGCTAAAGCCTGGTCCGTGAGCACGTAAAATCCCGTCCAATGACCCCACGCTACCCATCCTTATCGCTCGCGCGTAATTATGTTGCTGTCGCCACTGTGCGACGGGCGCCCGCAGTGAGTGTGCGAGCGCGACAGCAACATAATTACGCGCGAGCGATAGGGATGGGTAGCTTGTGGTCATTGGACGGGATTCTACGTGCTCACGGACCAGGCTTTAGATACAAAGCTCTATACCGCCTAGTAGGAGCACGCGGTTTGCTAGCCTGGGGAACGGGAATAAGGACAGTTGGACTTGGTTACATCGACAGTAACCTCTACGTCACCTACTAGGAAAAAATGTAAAATGTTTGCTATAGATCGTGTCATCCACGAAGACGCGCCCCACCATTCTTCCGCTAATGTTTGTGTTATCGGTACACGCTAAATCATCCATGAGTGCACACGCACACTACAATAATGGCGCTCGGATTGCTCGGATCAAACTCCTTATAGCTTAGGACCACGAAATAAAAACTCTTTTTATTTGGCCAAATGGTCCGTTAACCCTTGGACGTGGGAACGTGTTTCATTTAAAAAAAATGCTGTTCTAATTTTAAATTAAAGTTGATTGCGTAAACTGTATTATGTTATTTCGTTACTCCTACCAGCATCCGATATGGTCTAGTGGCTAGGATACCTGGCTCTCACCCAGGAGGCTCGGGTTCGATTCCCGGTATCGGAAAAATATTTTTGCTTTTTACATTTTACAATATTTTACGAAAATGGAAACCATTTTCGTTGCCTTTCAATTTTTTTTTGACAATTAAAAATTTACATAATGAATTTGAATTTGAACCTCAGAATACGGAACAAACCAGAAACCGTCAACGGGCGTAAATGTGTATTCATATAAATTACTCCAAAACGCACTAATTTGACTTTAGAGCAATTAGTCAATGGCCGGCGCGCGCATTGTTTACATATCCGTCAGATTGACACTTTATAATTAAATTATGCCGTCTTGTGCCGTTCCAACATGTAAGAATGCTACTGGAATTACGAAGAAAGTGCATGGGATCATGTTTTATCCGTAAGTAGCACATTTCCAATTCATTTTAATTAAATAATAATTTTCAAAAAAAATCACTGTTGTATTTAGTAAGTGTTGCCACAGGTCAACGGAATATTTTACCCTACTTTTTTATATTGAATTACATTTGTCTATAAAAAATTCACGCGTTAATTTTGTTAGCGTTACCACAGAATAATGGAATATTTTCCCCATCCTTTTTGTTTTAATTAGTTTTTAGTGTATTTTCATCCATGACAATATGACAACCTGATTAATTAAATTATAAGTGCCACTTGTGGTCTAAACTGAATAAATTATTAATTTCCCATATTTCGGGTAATTTTCCCACGTAAATAACTGAGAACACTGGTCTTTGACGTATTATTTTTTCGAGTGAATGACGTTTGATTTCAATTAATTTCAATATTTTAATGTCGGGAAATAAGTGATGGGATTATTATTTTGCCTGTGAAAAGGGATTCCTTAATTTTTGTTTGTTCGAACAGAACGATTTTTACACAATTTCATCACACAAGACATGTCGTATTCGTGTTGTTTTTTCGTTGCTTAAATGTGTCAACTGTGTGAAGTTTGCACTCGAAGTGGTGTATCAGGGTGTGAATGTGTGCGTGCCGGCCTGTACATACAGGCAAGCTGGTGTATCCTAATGTCACAGTATTTTGTTGATGAGAATCCGTCCGACTTTTTTTATAGGTCCATGCTCGACCTGTGGTTGACTGGCAGAGAATGCCACCTGGCATTAAGTCCGCCACTGTACAGTTTAAAATTATCACTTCACGGGATTTATTGCAACAATATCTATTTTAACGGTAAATAATATTTACCCTCCCGACGTTTCGACCGTTAAAATAGATATTGTTGCAATAAATCCCGTGAAGTGATAATTTTATAGTAAAAAATGCAACATAATAGTTTAAAATATTATATAGCAAACTGTACAGTTTTTTTTGTGCAAAAGTATAATTCAATTACACTGAAAACCAGCGTCGTGGCTTCCCTCACCGGGGGCCACGGCATATGCTGAGTGGGGTCCCATTGCGATGGGCATCGCTGTGCGACAGGGTGGCACTGCTTAGTTTACTTGCTCATTCATTGTATGTTTTATGTCACCTCTGTCTTATTTTTTTTTTATTGCACCTCTTTTGTCTTTTGTGATGTCCATGGCAATCAATGTTTCTTTCTTTCTTTCTTTCAATTAAAAATAAATTAATAAAAATGGCAACAATTCATTAGCTTACCTCGCGATGGCGGAGGTGTTGTCGACCATCTTCTGCGAGTCGTTGTTGCGGATGGCGTCCTCGCACAGGTAGGTGTGTTTCTGCATCAGCTCGCCTGCCAAATGGAAACAGTCCGTCTTAGGCTGGGTTGCACCATCTTACTTTAACTCTAACAAACTTCAAAAATCTGTCAAACTCTATACAAAAAACACCGGTTATCGTCAAAGTTACTGTTAAAGTTAGGTGGTGCAACTCAGCCTTAGTTGTTCATAAATAGTAGATATAGTCTGGTCTGCGAGCACGTAGAATTTTGTCCAATGACCCCAAGCTACCCATCCTTATCGCTCGCGCGTAATTATGTTGCTGTCGCGCTCGCACACTCACTGCGGGCGCCCGTCGCACAGTCGCGACAGCAATATAATTACGCGCGAGCGATAAGGATGGGTAGCTTGGGGTCATTGGGCAAAATTCTACGTGCTCGCAGACCAGGCTCTAGTTAATTTACCGGCGGTGCGCACGAAGTCCAAGGGGTCGACGGCCTGGTCGCACAGGTCGCGCACGCGCAGCACAGCTTCCGCGTATTGCCCTTTGAGGTTGTTGAAGTGCTCCTCCGCCACCTGGGGACAACATTATCATCAAGTGATGTGGTCTCCACTCCAGAAGCACGAATTTCTCCAATTTATCAACCGACTTCAAAAAAGGAGGAGGTTCTCAATTCGACCCGTATGTTTTTTTTTTCTATGTTTGTTACGCGATAACTCCGCCAATTGTGAACCGATTTGAACAAACCTTTTTTCGGCGTATAGGTAATACCTCAAGGNTTAAATTCATAGATAGGTAGGTACTATTTATGCCTATGGCCAGTCATGTCGTCTCGTTCTATCGCAAAGAATCACCATTTGATGAGAGCGAGAGCAAAAACGGAAATGGATAGTTAATACTGTGGCCGTGTGTACTTATTTCACTTACCTATTTTTTACTTGTTTAACATCTCATTAAAAAATTACATAACTTTACCCCGAAAATGGGGGTGTCACACGGCGCTAGTAACACTAAAGGGGGTAGAGGCGCGCGGGAGGGGAAGTATTTTGGACACAAGTTGCCGCGTAGAAATGTTATCGAACACTCCTTCTGGTTTGTTCTGTATTCTGAGATTTGAACACAATCTTCATCAAATTACTATAGTAAATAATGCTCTCGGACTTCTGCCACCAAAATTACATTTCTTTTGATTTATTTATTTTACAAGTACAATTAGCAGAATGATGTCACGTTATTTTTCAGTTTTTTATACATATAGAAGAGAAAACCCGTGTAAGTCCATTGTGCCCGTGCGAAGCCGGAGCGGGCCGCTAGTCTACTATATAAAAATAAGTCGGGTTTTCCTCCCTGACGCTATAACTCCAGAACGCACGAACCGATTTCCACGGTTTTGCATTCGTTGGAAAGGTCTCGGGCTCCGTGAGGTTTATAGCAAAGAAAATTCGGGAAAAGGGGGTAAAACGGGATCCACGCGTACGAAGTCGCGGGCGGCCGCTAGTGGGATATAAAAATCAACTCGACCTCATGGACCTATAAAAAAAGGCGGACGGAACTCGCGCTACAACAAAACTGTGACGCAAAATTTTGGCGTTTGTCTATTGTGTGAGTGAATTTAGGGATGCCATGTTAGCCAAAACATTTTACCCATTTATTTTAAGAAAAACATAGATCGGCAGATGGTACTTGGAAATGTAGACAGAATTATTCCGGGCCATTTTAAAAGGATGAAAGGTGAATGCGTTGAGGTAGGCGCGAAATTTTCAATGTTCAAATTTTCTTACTTTGTTTGCAAGTCAGTGTGTCAGGGTATGTAGGTACGTAATGTTGATCAAAAATGATTCACGCAGTTACAAATTACGAATCTTGTGTACATTATAATCATAATCTTATGCATCATCAATAATATTATTATTATCTCTGATAGATTTTTTTTAACATACAACCTGACACTGACTTGCAATCAATGTAAGAAAATTTGAATTTCGCAGTTCCACATTTTTGGGAAGGATCAAATTTGCCTATGAAAATATATCCCATTAAAACACAATTATTATGATAAATTATTTTATTTCCATAGTATGCGTAATAAATAACTAAAAAGTCCTAAAATTATTATTAATTTCCCATATTTCGGGTAATTTTCCCACGTAAATAACTGAGAACACTGGTCTTTGACGTATTATTTTTTCGAGTGAATGACGTTTGATTTCAATTAATTTCAATATTTTAATGTCGGGAAATAAGTGATTGGATTATTATTTTGCCTGTGAAAAGGGATTCCTTAATTTTTGTTTGTTCGAACAGAACGATTTTTACACAATTTCATCACACAAGACATGTCGTATTCGTGTTGTTTTTTCGTTGCTTAAATGTGTCAACTGTGTGAAGTTTGCACTCGAAGTGGTGTATCAGGGTGTGAATGTGTGCGTGCCGGCCTGTACATACAGGCAAGCTGGTGTATCCTAATGTCACAGTATTTTGTTGATGAGAATCCGTCCGACTTTTTTTATAGGTCCATGCTCGACCTGTGGTTGACTGGCAGAGAATGCCACCTGGCATTAAGTCCGCCACTGTACAGTTTAAAATTATCACTTCACGGGATTTATTGCAACAATATCTATTTTAACGGTAAATAATATTTACCCTCCCGACGTTTCGACCGTTAAAATAGATATTGTTGCAATAAATCCCGTGAAGTGATAATTTTATAGTAAAAAATGCAACATAATAGTTTAAAATATTATATAGCAAACTGTACAGTTTTTTTTGTGCAAAAGTATAATTCAATTACACTGAAAACCAGCGTCGTGGCTTCCCTCACCGGGGGCCACGGCATATGCTGAGTGGGGTCCCATTGCGATGGGCATCGCTGTGCGACAGGGTGGCACTGCTTAGTTTACTTGCTCATTCATTGTATGTTTTATGTCACCTCTGTCTTATTTTTTTTTTATTGCACCTCTTTTGTCTTTTGTGATGTCCATGGCAATCAATGTTTCTTTCTTTCTTTCTTTCAATTAAAAATAAATTAATAAAAATGGCAACAATTCATTAGCTTACCTCGCGATGGCGGAGGTGTTGTCGACCATCTTCTGCGAGTCGTTGTTGCGGATGGCGTCCTCGCACAGGTAGGTGTGTTTCTGCATCAGCTCGCCTGCCAAATGGAAACAGTCCGTCTTAGGCTGGGTTGCACCATCTTACTTTAACTCTAACAAACTTCAAAAATCTGTCAAACTCTATACAAAAAACACCGGTTATCGTCAAAGTTACTGTTAAAGTTAGGTGGTGCAACTCAGCCTTAGTTGTTCATAAATAGTAGATATAGTCTGGTCTGCGAGCACGTAGAATTTTGTCCAATGACCCCAAGCTACCCATCCTTATCGCTCGCGCGTAATTATGTTGCTGTCGCGCTCGCACACTCACTGCGGGCGCCCGTCGCACAGTCGCGACAGCAATATAATTACGCGCGAGCGATAAGGATGGGTAGCTTGGGGTCATTGGGCAAAATTCTACGTGCTCGCAGACCAGGCTCTAGTTAATTTACCGGCGGTGCGCACGAAGTCCAAGGGGTCGACGGCCTGGTCGCACAGGTCGCGCACGCGCAGCACAGCTTCCGCGTATTGCCCTTTGAGGTTGTTGAAGTGCTCCTCCGCCACCTGGGGACAACATTATCATCAAGTGATGTGGTCTCCACTCCAGAAGCACGAATTTCTCCAATTTATCAACCGACTTCAAAAAAGGAGGAGGTTCTCAATTCGACCCGTATGTTTTTTTTTTCTATGTTTGTTACGCGATAACTCCGCCAATTGTGAACCGATTTGAACAAACCTTTTTTCGGCGTATAGGTAATACCTCAAGGGTGGTCCCATTTAAATTTAATAATAGAAAAAAACAACCCCCAAGGGTGGAAAATTGGGGATGAACTTTTTTATACGCAATATCTCCGTCGATTATAAATCAATTTGAACGATTATTTTTTTGTTGAATAGGTATTATCAAAAGGGTGGTTTCATGCGAATTTGAAGAAAATAATTCACCCCCAAGGGTGGAAAATTGGGGATGAACTTTTTTATACGCAATATCTCCGCCGATTATGAACCAATTTGAACGATTATTTTTTTGTTGAATAGGTATTATCAAAAGGGTGGTTTCATGCGAATTTGAAGAAAATATTTCACCCCCAAGGGTAGAACTTTTGAAGTCGGTTTTTTTTTAAAGTTAATTATCTGAGGCATAATGAAGGTTTGGCTCACACTCCACGCTGGCTAAGTAGCTAGACGGGTTGGGAAGGCCTAATGTTTGCATATTTTTTCCAATAGTGAACATCCAGGAGGATGTGGGGGTGGTTTTATTATTTACTAGCTTTCCGCCCGCGGCTTCGCCCGCGTGGAATTTTGTCTGTCACAGAAAAACTTTATCGCGCGCGTCCCTGTTTCAAAAACCGGGATAAAAACTATCCTATGTTCTTTCCCGGGACTCAAACTATCTCTATGCCAAATTTCATCAAAATCGGTTGCGAGGTTTAAGCGGGAAAGTGTAACAGACAGACAGACAGACAGAGTTACTTTCGCATTTATAATATTAGTTGGGATTTATTTCAGGTCTATTATACCAAATCTGCCACAGCTATAATACCCAGATGCAGTCGACAAATTCACATGTTAGATCAGCATAAAAAAGTAATTTAACTAAAGGAAAATAAAAATTACAGAAAAATATATCCTATGACGATGTCAAGCTCTAGAAAGAAACATCATTATGAAAGCTATAAATATGAATTATGTTTCTGATTATTTACCTTGCTGTCAGGGTACAGGAGGCGAATTTTCCCAGCGGCAATCAGTTGAGGAGATAACTTCTCTACCTGCAAAATATAATTAAATTTGAGTAAAGAGAACACTGAATAAAATAATAAGAAGCGCAAAGTTGTAGAACGAGATAGTAGAAAGGAATAAAAAGCTATAAATTTAAGATCTTCAGTGGAGGTCTTCTTTATAATCGCTGAATCGTGATGAAAATGGAATACCTCCACAAATATTACTTTTTTCTTATACATATTTGAATGACGATCTGTACGTGCACGCAAATGCGGACGCTTGTTTAAATCTAAGAGAATATCAGTCTGCCCGCGACCATGACCGACGTTTCAACCCAGTTGAAACGTCGGGAGGGTAAATATCTTATTTACAGATATAAAAGTTTGGTTGTGAAATACTGTGAAGTGATAATTTTAACGTTACTGACGAGCGTTATTATGTCGGCGACTGCTTGCAATAATGGTGGGCGACGGTTAACGACTGTAGGCGACTGTCGGCGACAGTCTCCGAGTCGCGCCTTTCGCTGTCATGACATGTTGAAACTCTGGATAGACGTTAGTATAGTCGCCGACCCGGCTATAGTGTGTGTATAGTGACCTGGCGCGCGCTGTGCTGCAGCTGGTCGGCGAGCCGCTTGCTGTGGTCGCCGGCGGCCACCATGCTGGCTGAACGCGCCGAGAGCTGCTGCCGCCGACCCGGCTATAGTGTGTGTATAGTGACCTGGCGCGCGCTGTGCTGCAGCTGGTCGGCGAGCCGCTTGCTGTGGTCGCCGGCGGCCACCATGCTGGCTGAACGCGCCGAGAGCTGCTGCCGCCGACCCGGCTATAGTGTGTGTATAGTGACCTGGCGCGCGCTGTGCTGCAGCTGGTCGGCGAGCCGCTTGCTGTGGTCGCCGGCGGCCACCATGCTGGCTGAACGCGCCGAGAGCTGCTGCCGCCGACCCGGCTATAGTGTGTGTATAGTGACCTGGCGCGCGCTGTGCTGCAGCTGGTCGGCGAGCCGCTTGCTGTGGTCGCCGGCGGCCACCATGCTGGCTGAACGCGCCGAGAGCTGCTGCCGCCGACCCGGCTATAGTGTGTGTATAGTGACCTGGCGCGCGCTGTGCTGCAGCTGGTCGGCGAGCCGCTTGCTGTGGTCGCCGGCGGCCACCATGCTGGCTGAACGCGCCGAGAGCTGCTGCCGCCGACCCGGCTATAGTGTGTGTATAGTGACCTGGCGCGCGCTGTGCTGCAGCTGGTCGGCGAGCCGCTTGCTGTGGTCGCCGGCGGCCACCATGCTGGCTGAACGCGCCGAGAGCTGCTGCCGCCGACCCGGCTATAGTGTGTGTATAGTGACCTGGCGCGCGCTGTGCTGCAGCTGGTCGGCGAGCCGCTTGCTGTGGTCGCCGGCGGCCACCATGCTGGCTGAACGCGCCGAGAGCTGCTGCCGCCGACCCGGCTATAGTGTGTGTATAGTGACCTGGCGCGCGCTGTGCTGCAGCTGGTCGGCGAGCCGCTTGCTGTGGTCGCCGGCGGCCACCATGCTGGCTGAACGCGCCGAGAGCTGCTGCCGCCGACCCGGCTATAGTGTGTGTATAGTGACCTGGCGCGCGCTGTGCTGCAGCTGGTCGGCGAGCCGCTTGCTGTGGTCGCCGGCGGCCACCATGCTGGCTGAACGCGCCGAGAGCTGCTGCCGCCGACCCGGCTATAGTGTGTGTATAGTGACCTGGCGCGCGCTGTGCTGCAGCTGGTCGGCGAGCCGCTTGCTGTGGTCGCCGGCGGCCACCATGCTGGCTGAACGCGCCGAGAGCTGCTGCCGCCGACCCGGCTATAGTGTGTGTATAGTGACCTGGCGCGCGCTGTGCTGCAGCTGGTCGGCGAGCCGCTTGCTGTGGTCGCCGGCGGCCACCATGCTGGCTGAACGCGCCGAGAGCTGCTGCCGCCGACCCGGCTATAGTGTGTGTATAGTGACCTGGCGCGCGCTGTGCTGCAGCTGGTCGGCGACAGACAGACAGACAGACAGACAGACAGACAGTCAGACAGACAGACAGACAGACAGACAGAGTTACTTTCGCATTTATAATATTAGTTGGGATAAATATCCTTGGACATTTTACACTGCGCTTCTAGTCCCAAACTAAGCAAAGCTTGTACTATGGGTACTAGACAACGGATATAAACATACTTAAATACTTTTTTTTTTGTAAATACATACTTATTATACATAGAAAACACCCAGTCCAATACAAACAAATATGTTCATGCACACAAACGTTTGTACTGTACGGGAATCGAACCCGCTACCTTCGGAATAGTAATCCGTTTCGAACCACTACACCAAACGGCCGACATTATGACCGCAGTCTGTGGAGGAACACTAATGTGGTCGCGATCCTAATCAGTGAGGGACCGAGGAAGAGAAGGATGACTGACCTGGTAATAGAAGAAGGATGACTGACCTGGTAATAGCCCGGGCTTCTTCAGAGTCCCCACGACCGCTCATACACAGGTCGGCTAGGCGGTCGGACAGACGCTGCACTTCCGAACACAGCTGTAGAATCTCTGCCTTCTCGCGCCCTTGTAACCCGTCGGCGATCTACACAACAATAAAATTAAATAAATTAATAACCTTGAGACATGTTTCACTTCTCAATGGCGCCATTAGTCAAAGTTTGTGCTTACTTGTGACAGTAACCCTCAGATTTTTGTCCTGACTTCAAAGGGAACTAGAGCTTAAGACTCTATACTCTTATAAGACAACTTTTTTTGCTAAGAATATTGTAGGCATGGCACCCAAGATTATAAATAAATTACCAAAAGACATTAGATTAATTGAACATCTAAATTCATTTAAAAAAACTTTACTGACTTATTTAATTAATAAATGTTATTATAATATATCTGAATTCTTTGACGATAAATCTAATTAGTTTATGTAACTGCCAAATTTTATTGTTGTCTGACAAATTGTATGCTCTTTGAGCGGAACATAGTGATACTACCTAATGTAACATGTCACCATTTTACCTATGATTCACAATAAATGATTTTGTATTTGTATTCGTATTCTAGTACACAATAGCATTATGCTGACCTACTTGTGTACAACCTGTGTGCTAGGGGACAATAAATTGTCAATCATTGCGCGCAATGGGATTTGTCGGTTTTTGGCATATTTCAATAGAATCGTGGTGTAGCGTTATTCAAAGTTTCTAGAGTTGTAAACTGCAGGCTTTTTTTGACCGATAATTTGGTTTGGGAGTCTAATGCCCGTTTTCACCATCAATGCCTAATTTTAAGTGACCCTTTTGAAAACAAAATTTCTGTTATGTGTTACTATTGGGGTCGCTAAAAAATTAGGGATTGATGGTGAAAACGGGCATGAGTCTTTACATATTATGAACAGTTTTAAAATGAGTCCTCACCCGCTGGCCCTGCGACACGATGCTGTTGATGGCCTTCTGTCCCTCCACGCGGGTCGCGGGATCAGCCGCTGGGTGCAGCAGCCACTTGTGCGCCGTCTCCAGCCTGCACACATTATACAAATCGGTTTAGTACATTGTAATTATTTATTCGTATGTAGGCCCTTTTTCCCTAAAAAGGGGCCTACATACGAATAAAGAATTACAAGTCTTGTTAAGGCGGTTATCACACTGCGCCGCGCTCCGCCGCGGTACGCGGGACGACAGATTTAATCATTGTATGCAAGTACCTCAGTTTGTATAGAAAACACGCGCGGCACAACACACTGACAACGCGTCTGCGCGGGGGATTTTTTATATGAAATCGAAAGCGGCGCAGTGTGATAACCGCCTAATAGTGCCCGCACTATTAACAAGACTTGACAGGTAAAATATGTATTTTTAACCGACTTAAAAAAAGAAATTCAAATCATTATAGAAGGAGGTTATATGTTGGAGTCGGTGCCGGTAAAAGAACATTTCTTGAGCTTGGCACTGAGCAGGCTGGCACCGACTCCGAGAATATCAACCATGGTATATATTTGTCCTTTTAAATAAGTTTTAATTTTTTTTTTTGTTAAAATTAATTACATACAAATAACCATGAGGGCTGCCAGATTTGCCCCCCACTAGCAAATGACAGGATCCTACCCTAGTGGTGCTATTTATATTATACACCAGTTGGCACCATTATATTAGATCCCAGCAACCAGCAAGTGACTTTATTTTAAGCGTCAACTTGTAAGGGCAAACACCCTCAATGAAAAAGGAAATTTAAGGTGCGGGAAATTTCTGCTATTCGGAGAGAGAGCATTCAACGCACGTTTTATCCTTCTATATCCTTGATCACATGCTTTATGATGACATTGTTCATCATAAATTGAGCCATAATTGACGAACCTGGCCTGCATGGTCCGTCCGCCTTGCTTCTCGGCGGCGCGAACGCCTTCGTTCACGACCGCGTCGACTTCATTCAGCTGCTTGCGTAGGTCTGATGCCAGGTTCAAGGCCTGTGAAAACATAATATCGTGATAATCAGGCTATTTGGCCTCACTGCAGGAGCAAAATAGTTATAGATATACCTATTTTGGAAAAGAAAACTATAACTACAAATTAAGTGACAATGCACATTTAGGCTGAGTTGCACCATCTTACTTTAACTTTGACAAAAATCTGTCAAACTCCATACAAAAAAACACCGATTACCGTCAGTTAGGTGGTGAAACTCAGCCTTAGGCCCAGTTTTTTGAGTCATAGTTCAAATAACAAATTGTAAAATTTTGATACTGATGGTTAAATGTTAAGTAATAGTTAAAAAAAATGTACTAAAAGTCAAGCTAACCATTGTTCGAAAAACGTTTTTTCTGATATTTAACCACTTGTCATTTGACATCTGTCAAATTTGACTATTGGTTATTTTAACTACAAATCAAAAATCCGGGCCTTAGAGATTTTACTTTGTAATTCACTCTAAACGGTGATAAGCAATTTTAATTTGAATGACCTTACCTTAGCCTCTCTGCCATGACCGTATTGTCTTTCGTCACAGAGTTGATCCGCGTTTATACCACCAGATCTGAAATGTAACATGCAAATTAATTTTCCATCCAATGTTTTGAGCTCTAATTTTATTAGGATACTAGCTGACCCCGCGAACTTCGTACCGCCTCTATTCATCAGAAAGAATGTAAGATTCTATAGCGGTACGGGAGAGTTGTTTTTGTAACGTTAAACGTCAGCGAGACTTCAGGTTTCACAGGTGTCACGTCATAATGTCAATGTCACCCCTCCGTTACCGCTCTCATGCATCAGACACTGACAGAGTTTAGCGCTAAGAAGCACTAAAGCACAAATAATGTACCCACCTACTTATTCTCCATTCTTTATTTTAATATGTTGTGAGTTGTAACATTCGCTGTGGGCCAAGTGCCCCTCTGTCACGGTTTCTGCAGAATACCAGTGGCCGTAACGTGCTCCCGAGTACGTGATGGCCTCATACTGAACAGAGACCAATTTGGTACAACAATTGTATTATTTTACTTTGTAATGTCAATGTGTATCATTAAGTACCAAATAAATATTTTTTCTTTCTTTCTTTCTTTCAAAGATTTTTTCAAATCGGTCCATTAGTTACCTGGCCAGCTTGCGCACAGCATCCGAATGCGTGGGCGCAAGGTGTTCAGCGGCGCGCTGCGCTGACGTCAACACTGTACGTAGAGCACGCTCGCCCGAACTGTTGCGGAGCGCATCAGGGTCCTAAGGGATTACACGATATTCACATTAGGTAAAGCCTGGTCCGTGAGCACGTAGAATTTTGTCCAATGACCCCAAGCTACCCATCCTTATCGCTCGCGCGTAATTATGTTGCTGTCGCGCTCGCACACTCACTGCGGGCGCCCGTCGCACAGTTGCGACATGGTGCTCACGGACCAGACTATAGTATTCTAAAAAATAACACTAATGCCCGTTTTCACCATCAATCCCTAATTTTTAAGTGACCCCTATGGTGACAAACAACAGGAATTTTATTTGCAAACGGGCAATAGTCAATCAATTATACAATCAAAAAATATTGGACACGTATATTTTTATTTGTCAATCAAACAAGTAATTACGAAGTTATGGTGGCTTCAAGTTTCGCGTGACGTCACGCTTACACTTTTTACCAAGCAATGACGTCACTGGCCTCCACTTTTGGGCTTCGACAAAATTTATCTCTGTAATTTTCATTGAACGTATCATGTATCCCAGTGGTACTAATACTTTGCAGTATTGTGTTGATGAACATATCTGTTTGTATTGGTCTTTCTGTATTATTTTAATTACTCACATTTAAGAACTCATGCGCAGCTCCAATCTTAGAATGTATTTGTGTTTGCAAAGCCTTTAGCACCGCTATATTGTCTTTTTCACCGCCATCCTCTACGTACGATGTCAATTGTAAAACTCTGGAACAAGAAAATACAAGTTGATAAATAAGCAAAAAATATACTATCTGAAATAATACGAAGAATGAAATAACTTACCGTATAATTTCATGTATTTCGTCGGCCATCTTTTGTGCTAAATAATTTCTGTTTTCAGCAGCTTCCTCGATACCTTTGCCACCTAAATACAATACATTTTATGAATACAAGAGATAATGATTATTAGGACGCAGCATCGTAAGTATTTACCTAAACTAAAACAATTGGAAGATTTGACCTACACACTTTCCCCCCGGGACAATTTTGACCTTCACTGGTTGGGTTTTTATTGGCGGTCAAGCTGTAGATCCTGGCTACACAAGAGTTATAGCAGTGGGAACTCCACACGCTGGCCAGACAGATTAGGAATTCCCGATGTTTGAAGATTTCCTCCGGTTAGAACCATCTTCCATTCAATAGAACTAACATCACTAGTATTTTTTTATTGCTAACCTAACCTGAACCTAAGCTGCATTACCTTCCGTAAGTATGTGTATGTAGATCTTCATGGAGCAGATGAGAACGGGCGCCAGCTGCTTGACGCTCTCGAGGCAGCGAGTCAGGGTCTCTGCGTGGGGAGGGTGCGTCAGTTCTGCTGCTCTTGATGCCACCTATAATGTTATGCGTAAGGTTTGAAATCGGTTGAGATTTTTTTTATCCACAACGAGGAAGCTCTTGTCCTGTATCTCACCTGATGGTAAGTGATGATCAGGCCGAAGGTAGAAGCGAGCTTTACCCGGAATCCTCAACCACGGAGGAACTGGCTATCTTACCTCTTAACTGCCGGAACACAACAATGCTGTTAACTGTTATGGCGACAGACTTAGATAGGATGGTGGTAGTTAGCCAGGCGGACTTAGAACAAGCCCTACCACCAACCAAACCGAGCAGAAAAATCTGCCCCCACTGGGAATCGAACCCGGGACCTCTGCGTCTGAAGCAGGTGGTCTTACCACTAGACCACAGAGGCGGTTGGACGTGTGGTGTCGACTGTACCATATTTTATGTGTGGAGGAAGTTTAGCTTTCATTTGGTTGTCAGGTGAGTTACAACTCTGTTTTCAGCTTTATGAGCTGCCATAGGCATTTGAAATAGCTCATTCGGACTGATGGCGAACAAATTACGAAATAGCTTCCTATGAAAATTATTGTACGAAGAGCAGTACTGACGATTGTAAGGCACTTTTCCTGTGCAACTATGTTAATCAATTAAGGTGTGGCCAAATAGCTCATTCATCACCAGGTGTCATCATCATCATCACTTCAACCATAGGATGTACACTGCTGAATATAGGCCTCCCTCAATGATTTCCACAATCTGAATCCAGCGCCTTCCTGCTACCTTTGTGAGGTCGTCGGTCCACCTTGTTATCATGTCAGGTGTGATTGCGGTCAGTTATCTGTCTTGTTCTGCATAAAAAACCGTTTTGCAGACTCATATGCCACTTGCCCTTAGAATGCTCAAAGTATGTCTCCAAGTTAATCAACTCTGAACCTTATATCCCCACCAATTGTGCCTTATTTAGACTAGTCTTACCTCCCTGGCGGCCCTGGACAGCGCCGGCGAGATGTCCCGGAGGAACTGCACCAGGTCCTCCATGGTGTCGATGACCTCCGCCACGCCGAGGTAGTCTAGCACCTACCGACAACACACTACTGCTAGCGATGTCTATGGATGTTTGCTATAACTACTTGTGATTGTTAAACTGTAGGTATACAACAGTGGTTCTTAACTTTTAAGTCACGAGAGACCATTTTACCGAATTTCTGTCTTGTCAGGGACCACTTATATATTTTTTAAATCCTATGAAAGGGGAGGTCGATTTCTCGCCCACTGTGCGCCGTTTGCGTTGTGTTGACTCGACTCATCACGTCACTTCACTTGTTTATTACGATGTCTTCGTGGACCACTTGGAATGCCTCCAGGGACCACCAGTGGTCCGCGGACCACCGGTGAAAAACCACTGGTATACAAGAATAGACTATTTGACACCATTCCCCAATAATTCGAAATCACAACTTTTTAAATAGACACTTCATTCTGGTCTTAAAAACTTAATTAATTTTTAATTACCGGTAAATGATTTTTGGGTGCATTGTAATTGAATTTTTTTTTTATTTAGTTGACAAAATAGTGACGTCACTTGTATTGTCATACAAAATCTATGGGAGTCTCGTTTTGACAGTTTTAAAAAGTACGTCAATTAATTTGTGGTGTCAAAAGGTCTATTTGTACTGGGATTTAACTTATGAAAAGGTGAGGTACTCTACCCAAATGGCAAAATAAAAGAGGATCAAAGAATATGCAAGTGCGGGATTAAGTTGAAATCTTTATTGGAGAAGAATCTTAAATAAAATAAATAGATATCTTGATGGAAGATCTGGGATTGATTTTATTCCAAAACATTACATACTTAACTACTTTAGCGGTAATTTTTGACTTCAAATCAATGGCAATACGAAACAAAATATCAAAAACTTTATGTCTTGGTTTGTGGGTTTGAAACTAATAATCATAGGAAAAGTTTCTCACTAACCTTTTTACATTCTTTGACGATCTTTCTGACTTCAGACTCGTCGAAGCAGAGAAGCAACGCTGAAGTTCCTTGTAGGATGCCTCTGGAACCTTCTATCAGCTTTTTTCTGCAAAGTAAAAAGATATTTTGGATACATATCACACCTCTAACGAGTATGTAGTCTAGAGATTCATCTTTTACACTTACCCCTTATTAATAAAAAGTTACACCTAGGATGAACCCTGGATTAAAATAACATTTCAATACTAAATGACAACTTTAAAGCCAGAGTTTAACTAGAGTGTAACTTTTATTAATAAGGGGTATATGTATTAGGAAGTCCAGAAAGAAAAAGGTAGCAAGCTGATGAGGCACTTTGCGTAAGGTGGTACTCACGTAGGATGAAAATCTAGCAAGGTAAAGCGGCCATCTGCATAACGTGGAGTAAAAAGGTTCTTGAATGGAAACCACACTTAGCCTATGCGCAGACCATCGATTTTTCGTCGGCCGATAGTTTAGTCGGGCAGTTGATCAGTATGGGCATGTATGGAAGTGCGCACATTACACCGATTTGATTTGGCCGATTCTTCATACAAAATAAAATCGGGCCCAACTATCGGCCAACTAAAAACCAATGGTCTGCGCCTACGCTTATGGTAAACGTAATATACCAAAACAATGAAGAACGCTTTGTGCCACAAATTTTGTAGTTTTCCTTGGAGGGAGCTTAAGTAATTCCAACAGCGACCCTCATTGGCTAAAAGACAGACTTACCTCGCCGGACCGGAGTATGGATCAGCTCGGAGCATATCAGATGCCTGCTGCAGCAGAGTCGCCGCCGTTTCCACGCGGTGTAAAGCGCCGGGCATGTCCTGTCGCAGGATCGCGTCGTCTGACGACTCGATCGTTTCGTGACCGACCTGTAAAAGGTAGTTCTTGTCATTAGCATAGTTATCTGCAAGCCGAGTTGTGCAGGTTTGTTACCAATGTAACAAAAGAAAAACGGTTTTATTGGTTTAAAATCTAATTAATTTGATAAAATGAGGTGTAAATAGATAATATTTTAATTTCGTTTAACCTTAAGATTTTTGCACCACTTTGCTTTCAATAAAAATAGACGTCTTTTATAATAGCCCGATAGTGTGCGTTAGTTTGGAAGATGACGTGATTGCTTATGCATTTTCGCATAACTGATTCTTAGCAGAGTTTATAAAACAAACCAAGGAATATGCACAGTATCCCTATTCATAAAATGATGATACAAACTGCAGCCATGTTTTTGCAAGAGTTTTATGTCCAAATTATTCTGCAGGTTTACTAATTAACTTTATGAGGCCGTCGGTCCACCTTGTGGCAGTAAATACTCACTTTGACAAGGTTGTTGACTGCGAGCGACACGGCCTGCACCGGCCGCGCCAGATCCGGCATGGCGTTGCCATCTTCAGCTTCTTCGTGCAAGATCACCAGTCGGGATACCTGGAGAGAAAGAGCACAATGTTACTGGATGATGAAGAATAGAGGAAGAACATAGAAGGGACGGGCCCAGAACCGGTCTTTGTGGAAAATCTTGAAGGCCTTTGTCCAGCAGTGGACGTCTTTCGTCTGAAACGAACGATAGAAGGGACCAAGAATAAAAGAACACCATCATTGACTTGCTTGAAATAGAAACCAGAAAAGAAATAACTTACAAAAATTGCAAACCTAAGGTTGGATTGCACCATCTTACTTTAACAAATGTCAAAAATCTGTCAAACTCCATACAAAGAACACCGGTTATCGTTACGGTTAAAGTTGATGGTGCAACTCAGCGTAAGAAATTTTAGCAAGCACCTATTATTTGAAGAAATAAATAGTAGGTACAGAAAACAATAATTAATTACACGCACCAATTCCCAAAGCTGATATTCGAACAACAAATTGTGCTTATTTCGGTCGATTAACATTTCAAATACAAACTAATAAAACTATTGCGAACTGATCAACATGTAGCCCTGTCTAAAAACAAGTCAAAAATCTTAGAATGTTTAAATGACCAGAGCAGCACAAATAAATATCTAAACGTCAACTAGAGTCCGATAAACTTGAGAAAAGACTTAAAATACAACTTCCTACCAAACAGTAGCGTTATCAACGAGCGCATAGCTCGTTATCTAAAACTTTCCTTGACAATGAGCGTTTATGTTTATGCCCGCATGCCAGAGATAGAGTAAAACAATACTTACTTACTATTAACATGTAAATTCTCTAAGATCTACTGATAGTTAAACTAAAATATTTTATAATGCGAACAGCTAGGGGCTGGAATTCGCTGCCTGCTGCTGTCTTTCCCGAAGACTATAATCCGGGTATTTTCAAGGCGAGAGTGAATAGGCACTTACAGGGCAGATATGTAGGTACCATCCTAGACTGCATCCCACTTAACATCAGGTGCGATTCTGGTCAAATAACTGCCTTGTTATGCTTAAAAAAATACTTCTAAACTAATGCGCGTCTAAGAAATGTTCAATTTTTTTTCGACTATCTATGTAATGAATTAAAATCTTTTTACCTACGAAATAACCAATTTTGCTAGGTATTGTTCGTTTCTATATGTATTTTAAAATGTAAATTCTTGTTACACTTTACCAGTGTCTTGTGAACTTTAACAGTTCTGACGCGGGCACAGATGGCCATCAGAAGTCAAAGGTCATAAGCTGATGACTCTTTATCCGACTTCTTTATTTATACATATAAATATTAGCCTACTAGCTTTTGCCCGCGGCTTCACCCGCGTGAAAGGACAGTGCCAATCCATGTATGGAAGTTGGACCAAGTGCTGCCCAGAATGAAACTATAGTGCATTTTGTTCCTCAGGCCAATACTAATTTGTAAACCGGAGCGCACTGAAATCTATCCCTGGAGTTAAGAGAAAGAAAGTGTTTTGTTTTGAATTATTTACATACAAAATATCATCGATGTATACCTACTACGCACAAGATTTCGCGATTTTGGCATTAAATAACACTCGCTATGTTTGAACTTAACCATACTGCATCCGTACACCTTACTTTACTACGACTTCGACATTATTTATAAGCGATCAACCGCTGTTTCAGTAGTTTAGTTAGTTGACCGAAATTAATTATTTCCAAAATGGAGCAAGAAGTTTTAGCTTACAATAACTTCAACAATCGATATTAATACACCAATAAATTGATTTTTCGCAAGGATAGAGAACTAAAACTTTTTGCTTTATTTTGGAAATAATGATTACTGTCAACTAACCAAACTATTGAAACAGCGTTAGATTGCTTATAAAGAATGTCTAAGTCGCACTAAAGTAAAGTGTACGGATGCAGTATGGTTAAGTTCAACATAGCGAGTGTTATTTAATGCCAAAATCACGAAATCTTATGCGTAGTACGTATACATCGATGATATTTTGTATGTAAATAATTCAAAACAAAACTCTTTTTTTCTCTTAACTCCAGGGATAGATTTCAGTGCGCTTCGGTTTACACATTAGTATTGGCCTGAGGAACAAAATGCACTATGGGTTGATTCTGGGCAGCACTTGGTCCAGACCCTGGCACTATCCTTTAGTAGCCTATATGTTAATCTGGGTTACAAACAATAATACCTACTGTAAAGTTTCAACAAAATCCGTTCAGTAGTTTTTGCGTGAAAGAGTAACAAACATACAGACATCCAAACTTTCGCATTTATAATATTAGTAGGATAATAAATTAAAATACCAGTAGCATCAAAAGTAATTTAAAGTCCCGCCTTCTGTCGGCAAACACATCTTCTTATCAATCCATTCACATCTCTACCATTCGATTATTGAAATGTGAGCGAGAATCGACCCGCTCATACAAATGGCTCGATATCACTCATTACGCATTCATCGAACTTGTTCTGTGATAAGATGCGCAGGCGCCGCTCGGTTGTAAAGGCTCTATTTGGATTCCAACTGGAGACTTTAGCCAATCAAGATTTTATTGCGAAACTCTTGAAGTAAAATACTATGAATAGTATCATCATCATCAACAGCCCTTTACAGTCCACTGCTGGACTATGAGCCTCCTCCACTATAGTAGAGGGTTTTGCCATAATCCCCACGCTTGGCAGGCGGGTTGGAGATCGCAGTTTAAAAGATTTATGTTTGTCAGAGAGCGCTGCTGCCCGTTCTCTGTTTGATGTGTAGTCCCTAAGTCGCCTCTTACGACACCCGCGGGAAGAGTAGGGGTTGGTGACAAATGTATTCTACTCGGCCGTGTGGTGACGGCAGAGTAGAATACATGAATAGTATAATGACTTCATTTTAATTGATTTAGGCTAAGTTTTAGTAAGTAAGTAGTAGAGTTTTAAGTGCATTGCTCCTATGAAACCTTTCTAAGTCTCCTAACTTCAACCACGCTGGGACGATAAGGTTGGTCAACGTTATCTACTCCCATCCCCCACCCTGGCAGGATTGGCAGACGGGAATAATCCAATTAAAGGTATGCCCTTCCTTTGTTGGGACTTTTCTACGACCTATTCCAGGCGATCGAAGCATAAAGCCCCTGCATTCGTCTGTTTTACTAGCTAAGGGCTCAGCTTCCATTAACCCTTAACTGGTATCGTGGGGGCCACGCGGCCCCCACGCATGACGTTTTCTTTGATTTCTAAGAAGCTACGCATCTTGGGCACCCAAAATTTTTGGTATTCTCATTTCGGCGCTACTCGCGTCTGGTACAGGCGTTTCAGCACTGTATCATTCACCAGGACGAAGATATGCATGTGTTGGGGTCCGCGCGGCCCCCACAATACCAGTTACGTTAGTTTTTTTTCATGGCAATTTTTATTTGATTTTTGTTTTTTTGCCGTATTGATGGCTTACTAGTGATAAAACAATAGAAGATACCTAGAACGACGTTTTTGATTCCAAATTAGTGATTAGTAGCATGTCAGAAGAAGGATATAGTGATAATAAAATTATACGTCATTGTGAAGACCCAATAACCAATATTAGGTCGATAATGAGGATATTGATTCTGATTTTCGAGTTTTGTCTTCAGAGAGTGAAAATGAAGATGTTGTAGGACCTAGTCAATCCAGCTACTATGAAAAAATAAATACAAGTGGTTTGAAAATCCACCAGTACCTGCTAATGTTTGTCAACATAATATTTATGTTTTTATTTTTATAAAATGCTTATTATTTTTATTAAACTTTACATTAAAACTTTATTTATTATTAAGTTCACATTATTATGGATTAATTAAAATAATAATATTTTTGGTTTTAACTTTCTAAACGTAGGTTTCGTAGATATTTGTAACGTTAAAAAAAGTTAAGTAAAAAGTTGTTACTATTATGTAATGTCTTGAAGTATATAAGTAAGATGATTTAATACAATTAAAACTAAATAATTACATAGAAAAAGCCTGATATATGTCATTTATGAGCATTTATTCAAGTATATAGGTAAAACATGCTTGCTAGAAGCAAACACAGTATGGGGGCCGCGCGGCCCCCACGATACCAGTTACGTATGTCCAATTTACGATACCAGTTAAGGGTTAAGACTTGGTCAATATTAGGGATGTTATGGATATGTAGTTTCGGTTATGGATATGGTTACGGATATAAGAATATTATTATACAGGTTTCGGTTACGGTTACGGATATCTTTTTATTTCGGATATTCGAAAGTTACGGTTACGGATATCTATGATTTAGAATGCAATTTGCAATAGTTGTTCAACACGGTTCATTCATAGCCGCACACTTTACATCGAATAAAAAGTAATAAACAAATAAAAATTGATACTAGATGGCATTATAAAGGTAAATCAGGCTATTATGCCTTTACATATAATGCGATATAAAAAACAATTTAAACTGCCTACATCCGAAACTATCCGAAACTTTTGAATCGGTTACGGTTACGGTTTCGGATATTTTTTTATTTCGGATATCCGAAAGTTTCGGTTACGGTTACGGATATCCATAACATCCCTGGTCAATATCATGATGATTTTGTCGGTCCAACCAGTACAGTAAACACTCGACATTGGCGAAACCAGTGTGCTTCAAACACACCTGAGGTCACTAAAAAGAATAATAATAATAAACATGACAGAATGGCAATAAGTGGTGACTGAGTTTGTTCCGGCGTTTCTTCTCAGCACTTGCCATATGTTTGTCTCGAAGCGCTGGTAGGGCCCAAAAGATAAGGAGACATGTAAAGTGCCCCATAAGGGCTACCTTTTTCTTTTTTTATTATTTTCTATTGACGTTCATAAGTGCCACTTGTGGTCTAAACTGAATAAATATTTTTTGATTTTGATTTTGATTTTGATTTTGAATGGTGACAAAATTATCAATTTTTTAATCGGTCCCTCATTACGCAACCGAAACCTGTCCGCGCCACGCAAGCGCCGCGCCATATACGGCGCGCGCGCAACCGTACCACCAAGCCGTTCATTCATTAGTTTTTTGTTCGCTATCAT